GATGAGGGGTAGGGTGATTATAGAATTGATTAGCGAGTCAATGATGAGGGGTAGGGTGATTATAGAATTGATTAGCGAGTCAATGATGAGGGGTAGGGTGATTATAGAATTGATTAGCGAGTCAATAATGAGGGGAAGGGTGATTATAGAATTGATTAGTGAGACAATGATGAGGGGTAGGGTGATTATAGAATTGATTAGCGAGTCAATTATGAGGGGTAGGGTGACTATAGAATTGATTAGCGAGTCAATGATGAGGGGTAGGGTGACTATAGAATTGATTAGTGAGACAATGATGAGGGGTAGGGTGATTATAGAATTGATTAGCGAGTCACTAGTTCCGTTAAAAATACATATTTTAGTGGAAATCTTATTTTAGCGCTTTTAGTGCTAAAGATTTTCTGCTAAAATAGGATTGCACTTATTGAAAATTCAGTATGATAGTAATATACCAATTATCGTGAATGCGAGAATTCATCATTCCACTTCCATTCTCAAAATTGATTTTGCACTAAAATTTGTATGGGCCATAATGAGTACATTTACAGTACCGGGAATCTCTAATTTACAAGATAGAATGTGGCGAATGTTGACAGATGTTGTTTGTTGATCAAAGTTAATTAGATTGAATTGTGTTAATTAAAATAAAGTTCGGTTGAGAATGCGCATTGATCTGCCTAAAGCGTAATTGAATAGTTCTTCTATTTACTCTAGATAGCATTTTTGTAATTTATCAAAACCATGCTGTGTAATGCCGAGTTAAAGCTGATGTGATACCTGCACGTTATGCTTCAGTAGACTGAACCACGTGTATAATGGTGTAACGCATTTGTGTATGTTAACTATGGTCCAGGAAATTTACCATCAGATTGACGTGTCAAGCCGATTGATGTTTAGAAAGAAAAGCACCGAAATCTATACGATGGTGCAGTGAATAAAATGCAGTTAGAATATATCAGGCTATTGAATTTTGGTGTCTGGATTTTCACAATAAAATTATAAGCTCCCATGAGATAGGCTTGGTTGTATGCCTAACCTTGTTACATTGTACCAATGTTCATGTGACTGTCGATGTATCAACAGTTAATTTTTGTCGAATCAGCAGTATATAAAAAATTGATAATTTGTACCCGTTGGTCAGCTCTACAGTCCGACATAACAAAATAGTATTAATTACATGGTACGGTAAGGGATATTTAGATACAAACTCGGACAGACAACTCTCTCACAAAGGATAGACAACTCTCTCACAAAGGTCAGACAACTCTCTCACAACGGTTAGACAACTCTCTCACAAAGGATAGACAACTCTCTCACAAAGAATAGACAACTCTCTCACAAAGGTCAGACAACTCTCTCACAAAGGTCAGACAACTCTCTCACAAAGGTTAGACAACTCTCTCACAACGGTTAGACAACTCTCTCACAAAGGATAGACAACTCTCTCACAAAGAATAGACAACTCTCTCACAAAGAATAGACAGTTCTCTGACAAAGGTTAGATGACTCTCTCACAAAGGATAGCCAACTCTCTCACAACGAATAGACAAGTCTCTCACAAAGGATAGACAGTTCTCTGAAAAAGGTTAGACAACTTTCTCACAAAGGATAGACCTCTCTCTCACAAAGAATAGACAACTTTCTCGCAAAGGTCAGACGACTCTCTCACAAAGGTCAGACAACTCTCTCACAAAGGTCAGACAACTCTCTCACAAAGGATAGACAACTCTCCCACAAAGGTCAGACAACTCTCTCACAAAGGATAGACAACTCTCTCACAAAGGTAAGACAACTCTCTTAGATAAAAGACTCTCTCACAAAAGGTTAGAGGACTCTCTGACAAAGGTCAGACAACTCTCTCACAAAGGATAGACAGCTCTCTGAAAAAAGTTAGACAACTCTCTCACAAAGGATAGCCAACTCTCTCACAACGAATAGACAAGTCTCTCACAAAGGATAGACAGTTCTCTGAAAAAGGTTAGATAACTCTCTTACAAAGGATAGACAACTCTCTCACAAAGAATAGACAACTCTCTCACAAAGAATAGACAGTTCTCTGACAAAGGTTAGATGACTCTCTCACAAAGGATAGCCAACTCTCTCACAACGAATAGACAAGTCTCTCACAAAGGATAGACAGTTCTCTGAAAAAGGTTAGACAACTTTCTCACAAAGGATAGACAACTCTCTCACAAAGGATAGACAGTTCTCTGAAAAAGGTTAGACAACTCTCTTACAAAGGATAGACAACTCTCTCACAAAGGATAGACAACTCTCTCACAAAGAATATACAAGTCTCTCACAAAGGATAGACAACTCTCTCACAAAGAATAGACAAGTCTCTCACAAAGGATAGACAGTTCTCTGACAAAGGTTAGATGACTCTCATCACAAAGATTGGACAACTCTCACTCAGGAATGTTGTGTGTTGATACTGTAGATTTTGCATTTCATGTGGAGGTGATGTTTGATAGTATGTGGTCCAGCCTCTGAAGCCTAAAGCAGACTTATTGGCCACGATACCATACTTACTAAGGCGCCAAAGTCTCGTATATAGTCGCCCGTTTATTATCAAGGGCCTGCATTAAACACTTATCTGTCAACCAAACCAGGTTTATGAATATAAATAACCCATTAAAATAGCTTTATTCTCGCAGACTGTGATACAATGCAGAGAAAAATAATACCATACCATTTCAGCAGCACCATATATGTACCTTTATAGTCAGTTTTTGTGTACGTGGCACCTAGTGTCTCGTATAGTATACAGAATGTCATACATCTTACATGAGGCCGTGTCGTAAAAAATGGCATTATCAAAAAATATTCATAAATATTAAAACACCACGATCGATTTACGTCGAGTCATTATTCACGGAGACTTCCTAGAAACCATGCAGTGGAATAATCTGTCTTCAAAAGGGAGAAAAAATAATTAAGGACGAAATATAGAGCAGTACAATAACGAGAAAACAGTGATAATCCATTTTCTTTCCAAAAACCAATTCTTTAATCTAGAAACATTATGCTCAGTTTTCGGGAATCGTGTCACGTAATTATCTAAAAATATTTCATTTACTGGGATAATTGTTTTCCATATTTAGAATTTTTAACGATTTCCAAGGTATACATTAATATTGTAGTGTTATTTATTTCATAAAGCTTACGTAGATCAACAATGCATCTTTACATTAATTTCCGGTAATCTGATTAAAACAAGACCTTTATTCGATTCCGACACTGTATGTTCTAGTGAATGGAGCGTGAAGTATAAGAGTGAAATTTGATATCTGTTTTAAATCAATATGCCTGAAAGTGTAACCATACTTTCTGTTTTCCATACAAATGTATTCTAACCTGAGGACGCTTTTCGCGGGATGGCTTAAGAACAACACAGTTGCCTCCCTTGCTTTCAACACCTTCAAACGACTGCTTATTGCATTTAATGACTGAGAATATTTCGATATTACAAAACGACTTGCGTTTCCTTATCACCAACATGTGTGTACCTGCCGTATTGTACATCATGTATTGAATGAATCTGAAACACTAGACGTGAGACGGGTAGTCCTCAACCCAAGGTGGAGTGGAGATATTTTTTTAATTTTCAACGAGAAAAAGATTTGTTTTCTATCTGAACTACAAAAAGTATGCAGTGTTGTCGTTCGCATTCATGGCACACATAGCGTTACCGTTGTTAGGAGAATCACCCGTTTCATCTACCGGCTGAGACCACATTGGTAGATTGTTTTTTATAAGTTTGTTTTTCACATCCCATCACGTGTTAAATTACTGAATATTGAATAAAAATATTGTTTAAACTAATAGAATTGTTTCATCTCTATGTGGTGTGCATTGAGTTAGCTCGACCAAAGGAATCGTCTTACCATGGACAGTTAAATTTTCAATTTCATTGGTATAGGATTTAATTGTCTTGTCCTAGAGTTGAAAACATCACTGTAACAATAAACAGGCAAAGATAAAAGATTTTCGGTATAGTAGTATAATCCTAAAGTGTACTAATGGTGTCTGTCAAAACTTACACCAAAATCCTGAAATTTCATTAGATACAGAAGCATAAGTTCAAAACATGTCAAAATCTATTGAAATGTACAGTCTATTAAAAAGCCGTGACTTTCAGTTCTCAATCATAAATGATATTCAAATTAAGACACGTGACAAGAAAGAATAGTCTGTCAATCAAAATTCCTTTCATCCTACTGCTATAAATATCATTTTCTGTGCCTTTAAACCTCATTTCAAGTGCGTTTTGCATAACCTTTCTTAATTGAAACTTTATCATTCTAACGCATTAACTTATAATTTGTCATTCTGTTTTCTTGGATCATGCTATATTAGCATGTACCCTGACTTTCCTTGGCTAGAAAATAGTTGGTCATATCTACGCTTTATATTTCCATGACGTTTGGTGTGGTGTGATTTTACTAGGGAAGCATGCAGCTTTGTGAAATTATGAAAGGGTGCAGAGATAAGGCACAGCAGACGAAATAATCCCTAAAATGTTCTTCTCAAAACATTCAATGACGACACTGAGAAGTTATAACTGGACCAGCTCCAGTCACCTGTAAGAATAGGTCAGCTGTAACATGAAAATATGGAGAGAAAAAAACAAGTTATTATGATAAAATCGTGCTGCAAACATACCGTAACAGGAAACTGATTGTAAATAAACAATCCGGTATATTTGAACCATAGATATCTATTATTTGAACTTCGCACTGACAGTTATGCCTCGATAAAACGAACGCACCTTCAGGCTGTTGGGAATGTTACAAATATCGGATTTTTCTGTTAAACAAAACAATTAACAGGTATCCCGATTTTAATATCATAACATTTCTATCAAAAAAAGTGCATGCGCCGATCATGTTTTACTTGCATAAATCCTGAAAACTAATGATATTTGTTACAGTGATGTGTATCGAACGCACTTCAAAACTAGATCACTCACACGCTTGAAAATATTTACGTTGACAACAATGGCTGACACTGACCCGCCAAAGAAACCAAAACGTACAGTTAAGAAACTCCCACCACTTACTGGTAATACAGAGGAAGAATCTACCGTCAAAAAAGTTGTTAAAAAGAAAAAAAAGAAGCCACCCGAGGAAACACCCAACGGGACTACTCCAAAAAGCCCAGAAGGTACACCTAAAAAGAAGAAGAAGCCAGTTGCCAAACCCGACACTGGGAAAGAGGAAAGTGCCGACGCCCCACCTGCTAAACCTACACCACGTAAAAAGAAAAAGAAACCGGTGGCTAAAGCAGAGGGTGAAGAGGGAGATCCTACATCTGCACGAAGTCAGGGAGAGGTATTGGATGTTAATTCAGTTCACAATATTATCAAGAACTGTTCTCGGTCTTTGTTCAGACATGTTTGTAAATTATAAGTTAAAAACCATTTCCGGATTCGAATCATCTTGTTCTTTTGTATAGTTTGTAGTACTATGGTTATGAATAATTCTTTTATTTTACAGTCTTTATCACAGGCTTTTCTTCTTGTACTACACTGATAAAAAAAGTGTCCCTACATTTACATTCGTATTTCGTCATATATACTTGAGTCTGAAGAAATGTTTTTTTTAAAACTGACTGTATTGACAATTATAAACTGAGAGCGATATCATGCAAATTTGATATATATATGTTTGTAACCAACATTTCAAAGTCATATTTCATCATGATGTCATATTGTCATAACTTCTATATTTTCAGAGCTGTCATCATATTCATTATGATGAATGAATACATGTCAAACAACAAAGTATCAATTTATTGAAATATGTATGTGTAAAATTTATGCTGCAACTTTTACTATGTATAGACCACAGATCAGTGGCCGAATGATGGAATGGGGATCATATCACAACATATTCCATTAGGATGGGCCATTCTATATGGCCTTTATAATGGTTTTGATGTTTTCTTCACTGAAATGACACAATTTGTTGTTTGTCATTCTTGACAAAGTACTACTTACATATACCAATTTGGTCATTATCCTGAAACTACTCATATGTTTAGCCAGTATAGGAAGTAACTAGAAAAAGGAAGTGAGAAAGACATGATATACATATATGTAGGTCCAAAGTGTTGTAACTAGAGAGGATTTCATCATTGGATGTCTAAATTTCATAAGACAAAGGACCATATCACTGGTTCTGTACAGGGCCATACTTCAATCACATTAAATTCCTTCTGTTGGATATAACCGGTTAAGATAATTCTAATTTTGACATTCTACAGATTACAACAGGTTAAGATACCTATAAGTATAGGATTTTTATGAGATACAGCATTTTAAAATACAAAGAACTGTAGCATTCTGTGGGGTACAACAGGTTGAAAAACCTATAACTATAGAATTCTATGGATTACAGCAGGTTAAGATACTTATTACTGTAGCAGTTGAATTTAGTGTGTAGTTAACTATGTTTAGATATTACTGTCTTTACTTGATAGGGAAGTCAGAGAACATTGGATTGCGAATTAACAAACAATTCATATAGTGTCATTTCTATAAACAGGATGTGGCTGGAAGTAAAACCAGTCTAATATCGAAGGAACAGACAGGCACACCTAAAAAGAAAGTGAAGAAAAAGGTTAAGAAGACCACGCCGAGGAAACAAGAAGATGAATTCCTAGACGCAACACTAGCAGCTGACCTTACCACTATACAGGAAGACATTGTCTCCCCACGTGAGAAGGCTGCAGACACAACTCAGCAAGGAGACGATGAGGAGGAGGAGGAAGAGGAGGAGAGAAAGCCTTACTCAACAGAATCAAACATTCTGAAGAGTCAGCCCCTTGATAAGCTTTTCATAGAGACAGATTGTAAGTTAATATCAGCAAGGAAAGTAGGAATTATTGCAGGTTTAGTAAATAAATATTATCATAAACAGGAAATGTCTTAAAAAAGATAATAGGTAGTTTCATAAAAACCATTGTGTAGTTGTTCCTGTAAAACTTCTACATGACCCCAGGACTCCAAAAGAAATCACTCTTATCCATGGTTTATTTTCCTCACTGTTTATTCTTAACAAATTATCAATTAAAGTGTATGGTGGTACCTTTAAACATAACCTGGAGTCCTTGGATGGGATGTTTTACAATATTAGTCATTAAAAAAACCTCCAAACCTTGGATGGGACAGATTTTTAACTAGAATAGCCCTTAGGTCTATAAAGTAAGTGTCTCAAGATTTGTGGTTGTCATAATTGAATAGATACAACAAGCCTTTCACTTCGGAAGCCTGCTTATAAGTATATCACAGAAACTAGCTGATGTCCTGAGGTGTATACATGACATGTTCATTAAAATTATGTTTCGCTATTCAAACATTATTATTTAATCAAAGCAACTATGTGTTGTGTCAGCATGTCTCCTGTAAGTGTAACTGTGGAAACTAACACAGAATGTCTGCTTTCACAGCTGGATTTAAAGGACAGAACAAGGCCAAGCTTGTGAAGAAGTGGGCCGAGGCCGAAGCCATTAAAGCTGATGCAGCACCACAGGTCAAGCGTACCACCATAGAACTGGCTCTTAGTACCCACAATGCACTAAAGACATTTCTTTTGTTTATTCACGGGATAACGGCAGGCATTTCAGTGTGGCACATTACAGTGACGTACATCCTTCTCTTCTTTAGCTACATAGACTTTTTGGAGCATTACCGAATCTTAGCTCTTCCAGTGCAGTGTATGTTTTATATCTTACTGGTGCTGTGTACTGTATCAGCCTGTGACAGGTAAATGGTTTGAATTTAGATTTTATGTTAAAATGCTGACTAGATATAATTACCATCTTAGAATTCTAGATTTGATTTCTGTGTTAAAATTCTAGTTTTGATTTCTGTGTTAAAATTCTAGTTTTGATTTCTGTGTTAAAATTCTAGATTTGATTTCTGTGTTAGAATTCTAGATTTGATCTCTGTTAGAGTCTTGGATTTGATTTCAATGATAAAAACGTAAATCTGATATTTTGTTCCAGATTTGATGTAGGTAATCCTAACAGAAGATTTGTGCTGGAGTCCCTAACACTACAGACAGGAACTATTTCAGTGCTGATTTACTTTGCGGCTTTGGTGATCAGTCTGTGCACTGCCAATCTGGAGGACAAGATGAATCTCTACCAAACCAACACCACAATATCTGGCCTGTGGGATGATGCAGGGGTATGAAATTATAATCTTAGGTAGCCTAGTAGAAAGTATATTTAGGACACCCTAGTTGTATGCAATAGCCTAACATGATCAAGTGGTATGTAATGATAATCTGGAGTGAACCAGTGGTACATAATGATAATCTGGAGTGAACCAGTGGTGTGTAATGATAATCTGGAGTGAACCGGTGGTATGTAATGATAATCTGTGGTTAACCAGTGGTATGTAATGATAATCTGGAGTGAACCAGTGGTATGTAATGATAATCTGGAGTGAACAGGTGGTATGTAATGATAATCTGAAGTGAACCAGTGGTATGTAATGATAATCTGGAGTGAACCGGTGGTATGTAATGATAATCTGGAGTGAACCAGTAGTACATAATGATAATCTGGAGTGAACCAGTGGTGTGTAATGATAATCTGGAGTGAACCAGTGGTATGTAATGATAATCTGGAGTGAACCAGTGGTATGTAATGATAATCTGGAGTGAACCAGTGGTATGTAATGATAATCTGGAGTGAACTAGTGGTATGTAATGATAATCTGGAGTGAACCAGTGTTATGTAATGATAATCTGAAGTGAACCAGTAGTACATAATGATAATCTGGAGTGAACCAGTGGTGTGTAATGATAATCTGGAGTGAACCGGTGGTATGTAATGATAATCTGGAGTGAACCAGTGGTATGTAATGATAATCTGGAGTGAACCAGTGGTATGTAATGATAATCTGGAGTGAACAGGTGGTATGTAATGATAATCTGGAGTGAACAGGTGGTATGTAATGATAATCTGGAGTGAACCAGTGGTATGTAATGATACTCTGTAGTGAACAGGTAGTACATAATGATAATCTGGAATAAACCTGTGGTATGTAATGATAATCTGGAGTGAACCAGTGGTGTGTAATGATAATCTGGAGTGAACCAGTGGTATGTAATGATAATCTGGAGTGAACAGGTGGTATGTAATGATAATCTGGAGTGAACCAGTGGTATGTAATGATAATCTGGAGTGAACAGGTGGTATGTAATGATAATCTGGAGTGAACCAGTGGTATGTAATGATAATCTGGAGTGAACCGGTGGTATGTAATGATAATCTGGAGTGAACCAGTAGTACATAATGATAATCTGGAGTGAACCAGTGGTGTGTAATGATAATCTGGAGTGAACCAGTGGTATGTAATGATAATCTGGAGTGAACCAGTGGTATGTAATGATAATCTGGAGTGAACCAGTGGTGTGTAATGATAATCTGGAGTGAACTAGTGGTATGTAATGATAATCTGGAGTGAACCAGTGTTATGTAATGATAATCTGAAGTGAACCAGTGGTATGTAATGATAATCTGGAGTGAACCAGTGGTATGTAATGCTAATCTGAAGTGAACCAGTGGTATGTTTATCATATTCCCATCACATAGCGTTTTTTTTGGAGCCACAATGAAATTGGAGAGAATACAGGGTAATACAATGAAAATACATTAAATGGTCTTATTCATGCATGCACAACTGAGTTGTCTCCCTTGACATACATGCGCAGGATAAAAAGCTAGAGCAAATACTTTGAAAACCTCTGGGCAGACCTTACCTCCCCTTCCCATGAGGGCTCAAGTGCTACACAGTCCTCCTCACCCGTGAGGGGTATAGTGTTAGTCATGATGGCTAGATTGTTATAGAACCCTGCTCAGCCATGAGAGATAAAGTATGTGAAATCCCCAAATAAAACAGCTGTTTCATGTCTTTTTGTACACTATTACAATCTTCATTATTGTATTATATGCTACAGGAGGCAACTTCAGACATTGACCTGTGGAAGAGTTTGAACACAGCCAGGGGTGTGCTAGCTATCCTAGGCTGGTTTATCATTGCTGTCGGGCCCAACACAGATCGCCTCTATAGTAATCTACGCAAGGCAGATGACAACATTCTCGGTGGAAATTCTATGCAGTTAGCATCAAGTCATGCGTAGTGTCAATTCACCTTGATCGTTGTTACGAGAGACTTTAATACAGGTGAAAATTGTGGTATTTTTGGTAGTGTATCTCGTGATTGGCTAGCCTAGATTTACTGAGATTTTATGATACTGACTACCAGCAGTGCCTATCAGTTCTACATCATAAACAGCTGTAAACATATTACAATGTGTCTATTTATAGCAAAACTCTTATAATAGCTGTGACTATTTATAACTTAATCATGTGATGACTTAAATCATTGTTTATCATGATGTGTATAGTTACAGAATTTTGATAAATTAATTTTTTATTCCAAATTTTCTGTGTTATGTAGTGAATGTACTGGTGTAGTTGCCCTAACAGTAATGTGATTATGAGGACTTCTCAGTTCTGAAGTGGGAGGAAGATATCACTGTGAAAGTCTACCAAACTTGCTTGATGAACTTTTGCTTTAAAAAGAGGGTTGGACTTTGCAGTTATTCTTCCAACATTTTTAGAAAATTGGTTTTTACTTAAATATAGAGAATATATAGGATGTTTAAATGTTCACAAGACATTAAATTGAGTAAAAATTGTTTAATGTTCAAGAAATGTTGCTGGATTAAACACAGGATACTTTCTTGGAAAAGATATTAACATTAAGGCATATCTCTTTTAATACTAGTACTTTGCAAATCTCTCTCCTTCGTCAAACTGACTTTCAGTTGACCAATGAAATGCAGTGTTATGTATCAGATAAATGACATTAACATTTAATCATCATGCATTCCTAATGCCAAGGCTCAAGGGTTTATAAAAAGGGTGAAAAGTGATGGCTCTCAAAATAAAAACAAAGAAATCTCTTATATAAATGAAATTATTTAATGATAAAAGATGTTGAGATACAATAACATACATAGAAAATGGTTAATATTGATGCTCAAACATACAACACACAGCTTATCATAAATACCAGTCATACATAAGATGGCATCATAATCATCATTATTTGATGATCTGATAAATGATCTGGACCCAGTGATATATAGGTGTGTGATTTTCCTGAAGCTAATCTACATATTTCCCTCTTAAATTTACTTTCTATAATTGACTTCTGTTTGAAGAAAACAGGTCCTTTTGTTGACTGAGGATCTGTACCAACATATCTTTTACTTCAAAGGACATATGTGCAAACTGCCGCTCTAGAGTAACAATCGGATACACAGAATTTTAACAGGATTGGTGATTATTGATCACAGTCCATATACTCATTTCATGACATTGTTGACAATACTTTTTAAAAAATACATTACAACACTGTCATCATTTATTCAGCAAAATATTTGTTTTATACAGACTTTAGCAAAAATGTGAACCTTTTATGTTAAATGTCAAAGTCTAGTTACACAGGCAGTCGAGAAAGGATCTGGACCACACCTACAACTTCTGTCCTTGTACCAATCATTCCTGATAAAATACAGGCTGTAATGTAGTGTTATTACCAATCAACCCTGATAAAATACAGGCTGTAATGTAGTGTTATTACCAATCAACCCTGATCAAATACAGGCTGTAATGTAGTGTTATTACCAATCAACCCTGATAAAATACTAGCTCTAATGTAGTGTTATTACCAATCAACCCTGATCAAATACAGGCTGTAATGTAGTGTTATTACCAATCAACCCTGATCAAATACAGGCTGTAATGTAGTGTTATTACCAATCAACCCTGATCAAATACAGGCTGTAATGTAGTGTTATTACCAATCAACCCTGATCAAATACAGGCTGTAATGTAGTGTTATTACCAATCAACCCTGATAAAATACTAGCTCTAATGTAGTGTTATTACCAATCAACCCTGATAAAATACAGGCTGTAATGTAGTGTTATTACCAATCAACCGTGATAAAATACAGGCTGTAATGTAGTGTTATTACCAATCAACCCTGATAAAATACAGGCTGTAATGTAGTGTTATTACCAATCAACCCTGATAAAATACAGGCTGTAATGTAGTGTTATTACCAATCAACCCTGATAAAATACTGCTGGAGAGAACTTAAAATTCTATTAAGCTTTATGCACTGTGTACAAGACTTGTCAAATCCTATAGGTGACAACAGAATAAATGATGACCTTTGTTACATATAAACATAAAATTGAAGATTTAGTTATGCATTCAGAACAAACACTTACTTCATAGCATGGGAATACATTCTCAATAAAGTGGTTTGAGAATCTAATTTTAAATGATATACATTTGTTGTAATACGAGTTTGATCAAGCTTTTGATAGGATACACCCTGAAAACAGGTTTTATTTTACACTTCTGATATGCAATTACAAGGTTTTCATTAATTTTTTGTTACAAAAATGTATGAATATTGGAAATCAGTGGTATGGCACAAAATAAAATGAAATGATTACCGACATGTAAAATTTGAGAATATGATTAACTTTCACTACAAACATCACTTTTTGAGTCCACTTTTCTTTGAGCACTATAATGTGTATCACTTACCTAGCACTAACCTGTATATAACATATAATATTATAAAAATGAACAAAACAAGCAGGCAGCAGCATGACATTTTAGCAGGATGTACCACAGATATATGGTCCTTATATTATACTTCACAGCAGCTTTACAAGTCGTATCAGAATATACCAAATATATATTATTCTTGGTATAAAATAAACAAAATATACTAAAAAGGTTTCATATAATTCTTCATTTACTTTATAATTCAGTTACATATAAAAAAAAAAAAAAAAGTTACAATTGTAACAAGCGTCCTCAGGTCCCTGTGGGGAACTCACCTTACAAATTATGTCCCTTGAAGGAAGGTTTGGGAAAATATCACAACTTATATACTTAAACTGGTCAATTCATTGAAAAATAAATCTGAGGACAATTCTAATCATAAATTGTCAAATGAAGCATTAACAAGCAGTTAGTGAAGTTGGTATAATATACTGTATCCTTTACTGCTAAAATTTAAACATCTTCCTCAACTATACAGCATGTGTCATACATAAGCTTAAGTGAAATACCACAAGCTTGTTAAAATTCTTTATATTATCAAATTTACATACCGATGTATGCAACTGAGATTCAAAACAAATTTATATATTATGATTATATATCTATAATAAACAAAATGAATAAATAAACAACAACATGTGCATGACTAATAACAAGCAGATGCAACATTATATAGGAACAACTGATTCGTTATATCAAACATTTACATTTAATAGTACCACCTAGAGAATTACATTGTCTCATTGTTCAACATTTCATATCAACTAGCAAACCATAAGGAATTATACCCATCACTGTCTTCCTGTACATCATGTCACCATCAAATAGAAATCATCTGTCACTCTGTCATATTCATTTACCTATGTTTTATGATTTCACACGCTCAACATGTACACAACCTGCATCTCCTAGGCATCAGTTTTCTACACCTGTAATACTAGTAAAACTTTAAATCCTTGTATGCATTAGCCTAATCCCAATTTCAATATTAATCAACAATGGTGATAAAATAAACTAAACATGTCATATTTGTCTTTTATAAACACATTTAATACGTAATTACAAATAATTCAGTACTCTGTCGTAATGATCCCACTAATGGCTCCCAGTATAAATTTCCATCACTAAAGCTGTGTTTTTTCCACAGTTATTTCAAATAAATTTATAAAATATCTATATATTTGGCTATTAGACAAAGTACAGACTACACTTGAAGTCACTAACAATATGTCCACAATAACCAGAAATCCCTACTCTCTCATGTGTTCAACAACTGAAGACAACAAGTCATTATGGCTACTGCCTAAAGTCTTAAAATGCTGAGAGTCCTGGGTTAAACAATCCACTTACTATTTCCTTATTTGTGTCGTACCTTAATTGGTAAGCATATTGAAACTCAATCATCCTTCTCATTGCTGCGATGTTGTTTACCTGGGACTGTAGTACTTTCCCCAACTATCATAACTTGAAGAAATCTTCATCGGAAGAAAAATCCTACAGAGAGAATATGGAGAGTATCATGAAGGTTAACAGATGAAAATGCCATTCCAATAAAAAAAAGAAACCATGATGATGAACAGGAGTATTGTTTAAGAGGTTAAGGGCTTTGTTTCACAAAAATAATATGTTAATAAGAGAAATAGGAACATCTTGAAACAGAATAGTGTCTTCCTCTAGCTTCCACTGATGGAGGAGCTTGGGGATGTCTATTTAACATTAGAGCAGATAGAGGATAAAGTAATTAAGGGTAGCTTGAAAAAGAGAAATGCTTGGTTATTGTATATTTAACCAAGGAAAAGTCCTGTGATAATAATCTAAACGGATAACTCGGCCACATCTATTCAACAAGAAACAGTCTTTGAAATACCTATTTATCACTGAATAAGTAAAGCTTGAAATATCTATTACTTATGATGAACATGATAACAACTTTGATATATGAACTAAACATATTGAAAATTTTTACTGGACATGATGAAAGCTTCAGTTTATTTACTTATATATATATGATGAAATTTTTGGTTATTTAACCATATGAAATCTTTGGTAATGTATATTTATTGAACACAATGAAAACATTGGGATATCTTTCACATAAGGTTTTATCCACTATATGCATGAGCCGAAAATGGCCAGACAATTGGATTAGATACTTCAAAAACTTATCGCAATGAATGAATTAATTGAGATCACTTGTACCTAAAATACTGCACAAAAGAGCTCCCTGAAAATCCTTGTGAGTATGTAGAATACTGATGATAAATTTGAGAGTGGAGTTTGCTGTACTTTATCATTGTATAAAGTTATTCAGGTTTAGAACTCTTCCTAATAGTTGTTTATGAAGTTACAAACTGTATATCACTTTTCAATTTACAAATCTTTTATAATTTACAATTATTAGTTTGATAAAGTCTTCTGTTGAAATTTACACACAAGAATCTCAGTGGACAAGTAGTTCTGTCTCTTCTACACTTATCTATTACATTCTATATAATACATGTGATATATCAAAAAAGGAAATCAGATACAGGCTGAAAACAGGCACTCATGAGGTCACAAAGGAAGACACAACCTTGTTTATAAATAATCATCCCCTGATACAAGGAACCCTATCTCGGACAAGGAACTCTATCTCGGACAAGGAACCCTATCTCGGACAGGGAACTCTATCTCGGACAGGGAACTCTATCTCGGACAGGGAACCCTATCTCGGACAGGGAACCCTATCTCGGACAGGGAACCCAATCTCGGACAGGGAACCCCATCTCGGACAGGGAACTCTATCTCGGACAGGGAACTCTGTCTCGGACAGGGAACCCTGTCTCGGACAAGGAACCCTGTCTCGGACAAGGAACTCTGTCTCGGACAAGGAACCCTATCTCAGACAAGGAACCCTATCTCGGACAAGGAACCCTATCTCGGACAAGGAACTCTATCTCGGACAAGGAACTCTATCTCAGACAAGGAAACCTATCATTTCACATTTACAGAAGGATCAAAATTTTCTTTATAGATCTCAGAAGTTTATCTTTAGCCCTGATACGTCCCTGTCAGAATTTTTAATTCACCAGCAATGACGGAGAATTTTAACAATTTACCCTTGTTTCCCCAATTATGGGCCTTGTTCATCTGTCATTTGGGTGATTTACCCTTCATTTATACAGATTAAATATTGACAAATTTCATGCATTATTAATCAGGTTTTTACTGACTTTTACAAAAAGGAACTTTCAATAATCAGAAGAGGCCTAAAACCATACAAACTAGATTGTTCATATTTAAATTATGATAGCAATAACTTTAAAATTTGTAATAATCATGATTTAGACAATTTGACCAGCAGTACAGGTATATGACACTGAACATAGAACTCCATACCCAGAAAAGAATATTCGTTACTGAATTTTTTTTTTACATTTAATAATGAAAGTAAAATTCCCAGTTGAATGAAATACATAATACAATATGTAATAAAGAAAAAAAAGTTTACACATAATCAGTACATATAAAAAAATACAGATCAAGCCATATGTAAAATGTTGTACACATATGTAAAGTCTATGTACGTATGATATATATACATGTAACACCGGTAAATTACTAGCCGCAATATCCCGTTCGGCTAGAGGGAACTTCTCTTTAGCTCAATCGATTGAGCATCAGACTAGTAAGCCAAAGGTCCCAGGTTTAAATCTCAGCAGAGGCATTGAAATTAATAATGACATCTGTAACATTAACAATACTTGGTTACTGGTGTTACACCTGACATGTCAACAGTCTTTTAAATATATGAACTATTATTAAGTATTGAATGATAACAAATGAGAGGTAAAAATAGCTGATTGAAATGATTTTTTTTCAATTCTTGTCCAAGGAGTGTAAACTAAGCAATCAATTAGTATAATGGTGTTCCATACCACCTACAACCCTAACAGAACAAAAACAATAAAAAAAATGATAAAGAAGATAGTTTAGGTATGTTTTGGCACAGCTAAAAACAAATTGGTCATTTGTGTACAAGATTCTTCTAAACCTTGCATGGTTATGTTTGTTTGTTTTTTCAAAGACTGCCTTTCAATTAACTTCTTATGCAAGGAAATAACATGTAAACATAAAATATATGTGTCTCTTTAGACTTCAGGACTACCTAGTATAAATATTACCTATAGATTTACATAAGATACCTCTCCAATACTTTCTCTATAACAGAAGTTGGATTTTTCCAATTCAATAATAACATGCTATCAGACATTAAGTATTGTGGACAAAAAAAATTCAGAAATCTCTGAGAATTTTGGATTTACAAAAGATTCCCTGATCTTCATATTTAGATTTTTTTAACCCCTTTTAATGAATATTTTGATGATTCCTGTAAACCACACTTGCTTAAAAGGGTCTGGAGACAAACATACACAATGTTACCTAAACAATGCCACACAAGTAGCACATGATGGAGATTAATTAGGAACCATTTAGAACATTTGAAAAGAATGTACATCTCATATTACAAAGCTGTGACAATGTAACACTGAGTGATACGAAGGTATCACACTGACTCATGTTCATTTATGGAAGTCTAATCCCTTAGCAAGCTAATATACCAACACCATGACCCAGAACCTATTGCTCGTGAAAGGAAGAAATTTAAGTTTTATATATATATATATATATATTTGTATGACCCCTGTGAAGTTAGAAATTGGTCAAGGTCAATCATCGGCACAACTTCATAGTCCTTTGTCTAAATAGTCTCTTGACCAAATCTCAACACCTTGAGCATAAGGTATTCAGAAGTTGTTTGAAAATTTTACTAAAAACACTCTGTAACCTTGGGAAAAGTTCAAGGTAAATACAATCCCACTATCAGTACCTTGAGTCTTTTGGGTATTCAGAAGTCACTTGAAGATTTTACACGTTTAACCTTTATGACCTTGATAAAGGGTCAAGGTCAATCACTTGAACATACTTAGTAACCCTTCATCCCAGCATGCTATAGGTCCAATATCAGTAGTCTGGGTCTTTTGGTTATTGACAATTATTTAAATAGAAAAGTTAACATAAGAGAAAGGGAATGACAGATGCCATAAACTTACTTGGTCTTTGGGCTTGTGAGATAAGAAGACCAAAGGGCTGTATTGCTCACCTGGTTTGGTCAAATATAGATTATTCAAAATAAAGGAGAAGGAAGTTTGTATTGGGCTGCATCCCTCTGTCGTGACGGGTTAGACCCATCAATTATAAGAATTGGAATTCCCTAAACCCAGTGATACTTCAGATCAAATTTGTTGGGAGTCCCTCAATCCCTTCAGAAGGATTGTACAGATTCACCTGTAAGATTCACAACTATTTCATCTATTGGACCTCTGAGAAACCACTCACTGTTTATACACAATTGTGTAAACTTTCCCCAAACATGTTCCAGATCTAAAACAGACTTATTTCTGTTATCCCTAGAAAAGAAAAAGAACTTGAATGATTTCACAAAAGGTTCCATATTGGGCCCAATCATCAGGCCTCTAGGGAACCATATCCTCCATTTATACATAACTGAAGCTTCTTCAATCAAGGTTGCTCTAAACTACAATGTAACAAAAATCCCATCATTCCTACAGAAGCTCTACTTCTACGATACTTACTGAGCCCATCTGTCTGCCCCAGGAGGGTCAGAGACACTATTTCAACAAACTGGGGTGGCCTTACCCAAGGATGCTTCAGTACAAAATGGGACAAAATCAGGTCATTTCTGAAGAAGAAAGACTTGAAAATTTTAACACTATTTCCCATTTTGGACCCCATCCCTCAGGCTCAGGAAGGAAAAGACCGACAATTAATACAAAATTAAGTCCTCTTCACCCAAGAATTCTCTGCATTAAATCTGGTCAAAATCTGCTCTGTTGTTCATCAGGAGCAAGGAAGTTTAAAATTGAATGATTAGAGGGATCTAAAACAAGTTGATGGACGGATGATGGACAGATGTTGGACACACGACGGATGGACACCAAGCCATGACATAAGCTCATTGAGCTGAAACTAAATATAAGCATATTTTAACTGATGTAGACTGCTAATTATCTGAGTTAATGGCAAGGAAATGCATGAAATCCTGTTTGTTTTGGACAGGGGTCCGTGTGGGACGTCCAAGATTCTTGCGGCTTCCCTTAGACACTTTGATTTCCAGGAGAACAGGACCAGGTATCTGGCGAAGACGAGTCAGTCCTTCTGTTACTTCTTCTTCATTGACAGCAACAAAGGCCTTTAAAGGAAGAAACATTCAACATTTACAATGATGATCTATACCTAACCAGATAAACCGGACTTTTACAGAAATAACCATAAAATGGCAGAACAAAGTCACTTTTAAGGACAACCACAGCCCCTAGTCTGATCTATTATCCCACTCTACAAATGTTACAATCAGTTTGTGCCAAGTTTAGATCTGCTATATTTTTAATCCTGAATAACTATGGATTTAAAATCAGGATCAGTGATCCGAACATCACACAGTTCGACCCTTCTTCACCTCTTACATTGGACTTTTTACCCATCAATTTGGATCTTGAAATGAAATAATTAACTTGGAATATTGGACAATCTGTCTTCACAATTTTTTTCAGATTATAAATCAAGATTTCATTAGGCTGCCATGGATTAGGATATTCTACTGTACCCAAAGTTGTAATAACTGCAGTTGTCACATTGATCAAGATTGCCCTCCCCAAACAGCTATAGCGTCTCTATTTCTGCATCTCTAATTCTACGTAGCATGGAGTTTATATGGACTGTGACTATTCGTACAGCAATGTTATTCCATTCTTTGGTAAATGCATTGGCCCATTGGTGGAGGTTATTTGGGATGTTTGCTTGATTTTGACTTCTTCTGTCTGATTCATCCCAGAAATGTTTGACTGGAGACTAATAGGAACTATATGGAGGCCAATCAATAGGGACAATGTTCTGGGTTGCAAGAAAGTCCTGCAAATACTTGCAACCTGTGGCCTAGGGTTATGCGGAAAGGTCAAATGGTGCCTTATCATGAAAGGCACAATGCTGGTACATACGTTGGCTGCCATCTGATCAAAATAACATGAATCAAAATTTATCAATGAAGAGCATGAATCTGTCTAATAGAGAAAAGTCTAGGCACATGTGCTGAAAACCACCAAATACAACATGCTTGACATTGAGGTATCAGTGGCAAACCAAAGTACTGGCAACATGGGTGTAAATTTGCCTCTCACAGTCTATTTCTCACAATGTTGGGGTGAATTTGATGGTTTCCAATACCAATGCTATTTTGTGTTGTTTCGTCTACAGTTATTCTCCTGTCAAGCAAGTGGGCAAGCCTAATAAACCAAAACTCGACATCAGGACATTACATATCGTTGTCTGAATCTGTTCCTGTGGCATTGGGACAAAAAACTAATCGACTTAAAGTTGATATGTAGCAAGTTGCTATTGAGTGCTATCACCCATAAGCATTGCAAATGCTTGTCTTTTATCATGTTGGGATAGTAGTGGCATATTGTAAAATAAATAATTGATTGTAAATGTATCGGTGATCATGTGTCTTGGTAGCAGTTATAAACTGACACTAGTTTGAATAGAAATACATTTTGTATAAGAGCAAATGTAAATAATTACTGATGATTTTTAACTATAACTACACTATACCTGTCTATAGCCACAGCCTTACTGCTATAACTACACTAACCTGTCTATAGCCACAGCCTTTGGCGACAGTGGATAAACAGAAAGAACTATGATTTGCAGCGACTGTGGGTTGACCCCCCACTGAGTCGTGAGCACCGTTATTAAAGATGATATGTTTGAAGTTCATCTGTTCACTCTGTCCTATTGTTCCCATGGTACCCATGTGCATTAGGGCTGCTCCATCACCATCCAAACAAAACACCTGTAACCAGATCAAACAATGTTCCTCTAAATATAACTCTCAGTAGATAATATGGTCAAAATATTGGTCATAGTGACCTTCATGCATTACACCATCTTTTGAAACTCTCCATACTACATGAAATATGTAGATAAGGTGACAATGTACAGGTTCATAATATTCTGTACATGTTAGTAATTTAAATGATGACTTTAATATTTGATGTCATGCACTTTGTTCCTATCTTACAATTTTCTAGATCAGGTCATTCCTCTCTTTCATTAAACATTACATCAGTTTCTCCTACTTACCACATAAGTTGATATATCTAATTTAAACACTAATACATGCGTATATTTTAAAGTTTATAATTATTGGTCATCTGTACCTGTCTCTTAGGTTTCTGCTGGGCTATTCCTAAAGCTATAGCAGAGGCATGTCCCATAGATCCTACTGTGAGGAAGTCCCTCTCGTGTCCCATGTCCTTCTCTACTCTACAAACACACAACATCATCATTACACGTCACTGTTTGAAACGGCATATGGAACTATATTCAACACAAATTAAATCTACATGAACTTACACGGTAAAAGGTTGTTTTCATATCAGTATCATGATTTACTGTCTCTGACACACATACAAAACCCGGAGTCATTCATGTTGCACAACGTTCATTTATTAATGACCAATAACATCATACATTGTACAAGTACCTGATGACATAAGTACAATCACGAAAAGATAAAAAAGTTTGAAGCCTATATACTGGGGTATGTAATATATATCCTTGTGCTAGCTACTGATTTCATTAAGGACTGCAATCATTTATTGACAACACTCTGTTGACAAGACATACCTCCAATGAGGTTGTACCATAGACAAAATTGAGTATAGTGATAAAGTGTCTTATCCTTACAGAGTTTAGAAAAGGAATCTCAGTCAGTATGGCCATCAGGCAATATTAACCCAAAAAACACTGTACATAAAAAAGTGATGGAAAACCTCCCTAACTGAAACTGAGATCACGTACCTGTAGCTGTAACAGTGAGATAACTCACCTGTACTCCAGCTGTAACTGAGATCACGTACCTGTAGCTGTAACAGTGAGATAACTCACCTGTACTCCAGCTGTAACTGAGATCACGTACCTGTAGCTGTAACAGTGAGATAACTCATCTGTACCCCAGCTGTAACTGAGATCACGTACCTGTAGCTGTAACAGTAAGTAACTCATCTGTACCCCAGCTGTAACTGATATCACATACCTGTAGCTGTAACAGTGAGATAACTCATCTGTACCCCAGCTGTAACAGTGAGATAACTTACCTGTAGCTGTAACAGTGAGATAACTCATCTGTACCCCAGCTGTAACAGTGAGATAACTTACCTGTAGCTGTAACAGTGATATAACTCACCTGTACTCCAACAGTTCCTGTATGATAATCTAGATCTACCCAGTCTAGCATATCTTACCTGTACTCAAAAAGTTCTCGAGACAGCATGCCAGTGGTGCTCACCACCACATCCTTGTTATTAAGGTTATTAACTATCACCTTCATCGCCTCCTCACGGTCCAGGGGGAAACTAAGCAGTAATAAAGTGATTTGTTATCTCCAGGGTAGTACAAGTCATGATATAAACAACATACTGACAAAAAGCCTGGATCACAGATGTTAACATTACCAACATGAAATAATATGGTAGATACATATATGGTTCTATTTAAATGGACTGTGAGACAAAACTTTTACACAAATAGTGACCATGATCTTTCTACAGGACATCCTCAATACTCGAGAGGTTAAGATTTTCGCTCTATTTGAACATTTCCTAGCAAAATTAAAGGCAAAAGCAAAGTTATTGATTGGTCTAGAGCAGGTTTCAGGAGAAAAAAATCAACCAATCACAAACTGATACACTCCTTTTAAGATTAAAAAGGAGCAACACCCAACTTCAGAATCAGTTCAACATACCGTTAAGCAACCTGGAGATTCTTTTGATGTATATCAAAGGATAAAACTAGTCTTCCCTTTTATCCTCAAGGTGTCACACATGTAACTTTCAAGTTTCCTATGAAATATTCCAGGTTTACAGAGACTGACCAGTCAGTAGTAAACACTTTATATACAACATCATGTCCCCTCAGAGACAAATGTTTCACCTGACCAGTCAGTAGTAAACACTTTATATACAACATCATGTCCCCTCAGAGACAAATGTTTCACCTGACCAGTCAGTAGTAAACACTTTATATACAACATCATGTCCCCTCAGACTTTATATACAAAAAAAATGTTTCACCTGACCAGTCAGTAGTAAACACTTTATATACAACATCATGTCCCCTCAGAGACAAATGTTTCACCTGACCAGTCAGTAGTAAACACTTTATATACAACATCATGTCCCCTCAGACACAAATGTTCACCTGACCAGTCAGTAGTAAACACTTTATATACAACATCATGTCCCCTCAGACACAAATGTTCACCTGACCAGTCAGTAGTAAACACTTTATATACAACATCATGTCCCCTCAGAGACAAGTGTTTCACCTGACCAGTCAGTAGTAAACACTTTATATACAACATCATGTCCCCTCAGAGACAAATGTTTCACCTGACCAGTCAGTAGTAAACACTTTATATACAACATCATGTCCCCTCAGACACAAAAAAAACGTTTCACCTGACCAGTCAGTAGTAAACACTTTATATACAACATCATGTCCCCTCAGAGACAAGTGTTTCACCTGACCAGTCAGTAGTAAACACTTTATATATAACATCATGTCCCCTCAGAGACAAACGTTTCACCTGACCAGTCAGTAGTAACAATATTCATTCAAGACACTTACTCTGTAGTTTCATCTTGAGGTAATTTGTAGGGAAGGAATGTCTGTCTCTTCACTAAGAAGGCATAAGGACCCCTGGTCTTTTCCATGTAATGCTGGGCAGTTTGTAAGGCCTGTCAATATTATTTATACATACTGCATTATTTAACAGACATCCCACACAATAAATACTGTCATATCAACATCAGGCCCAGTTCCAAAATAACGTACCTTACAAATGTTAATGTTGTCATCATACAAAGCAAATTGAAGCATTTAATGCAGATCATATTTGACAAAAAGAGCACATTGATCAGAGTGTCCCTAGACATGTAATCTACCAATCAATATATACTAAATCAAGAACTATTTTTAACTTGTAATGAAATGGTTAAGATCATTCTTTTAAACCAAATTATCAAATTTCAGTTTCCTCATGTGATGCTGCTGAAATATGTTTGTTAAATATATATATATAAGGAAACATGGATTCAGTTATGTACCACATCTGAACGATGGATGGACCCCAATCTCTATATTAATATACTAAAAAATATTTTTTTGCTTTTCTTCTGATTTTTTTTCAAAAGCTTGATGTAAAAAGTGATCTATTTTTGCAGAATTTTTTTGTTTATTTTTGAAGATGTCTATTTTTTGCAGTTTTAATCCAGCCTCAAAAACAGCAAAATAACTTGTTTACAGCATTAAAATTACTAATATGTTGGTGGACAGATGACCACTGACCTGTTCAGCGCCCTCCTGGTAATCTGGTAAAGGCTGGAAGGGTATACCAAGGGCTGCTGTCAACATCAATGCAAGCACAGATTTACTTTAAAATTGGGGGTCTAGTTTCTTTACTAGGGTTTACTATAAAGCATTAGGAGTCTAGCTTCTTTACTAGGACTTACATTCCAAAATTAGGAGTCTAGTATCTTTACAAGGATTTACTTTAAAGCATTTGGAGTCTAGTATCTTTACTAGGATTTACTTTAAAGCATTTGGAGTCTTGCTACTTTACTAGGATTTACATTAAAGCATTCAGAGTCTAGTATCTTTATTAGGATTTACATTCCAACATTAGGAGTCTAGTATCTTTACTAGGATTAACATTAAAGCATTCAGAGTCTAGCATCTTTACTTGGATTAACATTAAAGCATTCAGAGTCTAGCATCTTTACTTGGATTAACATTAAAGCATTCAGAGTCTAGCATCTTTACTAGGATTTACATTAAAGCATTCAGAGTCTAGTATCTTTACTAGGATTTACATTAAAGCATTCAGAGTCTAGCATCTTTACTAGGATTAACATTAAAACATTATGAGTCTAGTTTCTTTACTAATTTAATTTGTTGTTCAATAAAGGTTTTCTTACAATTATAAACATTTCTACAGTAATCAGTAATTACAAGAGAAAACGTGATAAGTCCTATCCAAACATGCTACATGTAGAAGACAAAAACCAGGACTAAAGAAATCCATTTAAACGTTAAGGAAGAGTAGGATTTTGAATCAAAGTATTGTCAAACTTTCTGAAGCAAAATCATGGATTAACACTCCCATTTTTGGCCCCACTCCCATGTCACTTAAGGTCAAATCAACTTTCTGAATTTAAGAAATGATAACCCACATGCAACAATGTTTCAGATCAAATTTGGTTAAAATCTACCAAGACTTTAAGAAGGAGTAGCATTCTGAAGCAAAATATTGTCTACCTTCCACTTTTGGATCCTCATCCCTAAGTCCCTAGGGGTCATAAGAATAATTTGCACCTCTACTCATGTTTCAGACAAAATTTGAATGAAATCCATTTAAGCATAAAGGAAGAGTAGTGTTTTGAAGCAAAATCATTTCCCTTTAGTCCCTAGGGGTCAAATCAATTTGAATTCGAGAATTATTTGCCAAACCCTACTAATGTTACAGACAAAATTTAATAGAAATCCATTTAAGTATTAAGGAAGAGTAGTGTTTTGAAGCCAAATATTGTCTAACTACCTATTTGGGGCCCAATCCCCAGGTCCCCATGGGGTTAAAACACACTTCTGAATTTCGAAATGATTGCCGACCCCCAATGATATTTCACACAAAATTTGGTTGAAATCTGCCAAGACCTTAAGTAGGAGTAGTGTTTAAAAAGAAAAGTTTACGGACGGAGGACAGGGGTCGGCACAAAGTGCATGACGATGGACGATGCAAGAGAGCAATAGGTCATCTTGACCCTTCGTGTCAGATGAGCTAAAAGTATATGCTTATAGCAGTACAGTATAGTGTATATACCTAGAAGACCTGGAGTTGCCTGCCCCTGGACCATGTGCTGAGGTTCATCACGTTTTCCCGGCTCTCCTCTCCAGCCCACGAGAAGTAACATAGGAATACTGTAAACTGGCGGTGCTGCCAGTGACATGATGGGATTCACAATGTTTCCTAGGCCAGAGTTCTACAGGTAAACAAAATACAGTGCACCGTATCTGTAGTCACAACAAATTCCTGAACACCACCACTGGCACTTCTTGGGGGCAGGGAAATAGAAATAGGATGTAACATTTTTACCTTGAAACATTATTTACATGAAATTTTCAAGCTGAGTTACAGACAAACTATTATAACTAAATTAACGAAATTCCGTATTAAAGCTTACCTGAAGATAGACCATGGCATTTCTACCTGTTGCTAGGTGATACCCTGCAGCTAAAGCTACAGCACTGCCCTCATTGGCTGTGATGATATGTTGATGTGATGGACAGTTATGAGTCACATAGGCACAGAAATCTGTAATACAATGTTTTCATTTACGTCTGATCATGTAACCATAACAACAGTTCACCAGACCTGTCATTCTGATAATAACTATAATACACACACCTCTCTACAGATGCAATCAGTTTTACAGGCTTCAGTAAGACAAAAATATTTGTTTTTACATGAGATGAAGCAGGGCAGAACCCTAACTATTATGTTTACAAAAGGTGCTCTCTCCCTCAACATTTACTCCTAACATCTAGTGATAAAATCTACAATGATTACTATTTACCTTTGAGCAATGAGTCAGGCACCCCACAGAAGTAGTCAATACCAATACTGTTGACAGCCTTGTAAAAATGTGCAGGATCCAGAAAATCACGTACAAGTTCAGTAAGTTCTCCGACATCCTTATTCCGATTCTTCTGCTCCTCGACTTGCTGAATAGACAAAAAACTTTAAGATTAAAGGTACAACAGATTCATAGCCTACTACAAATCTAACCTGACCACAGTCTTAGTCTGTTACAAATCTAACCTGACAACAGTCTAAGTCTATTACACATCTAACCTGACCATAGTCTTAGTCTATTACACATCTAACCTGACCACAGATTTAGTCTATTACACATCTAACCTGACCATAGTCTTGGTCTATTACACTATTACACATCTAACCTGACCACAGTCTTAGTCTATTACACATCTAACCTGACATAGACTTAGTCTATTAAACATCTAACCTGACCACAGACTTAGTCCATAACACATCTAACCTGACCACAGTCTTAGTCTATTACACATCTAACCTGACCACAGTCTTAGTCTATTACACATCTAACCTGACAACAGTCTTAGTCTATTACACACCTAATTTTCTACAGATTTAGTTTACTATACATACATAATTATAATTTTAAATGTATGTCTGGTAATTGGCACATCAATTTTAACTGTAATTCATTAGAAGAGTTACCAATATATGGCATTTCTTGATCTTGGAATATTAAGCCCCAACTCTGAATGAGAGTTGAGTCTACTAGCTACACATAAGGCTACCAGCTATACATATGCCTACTAGCTATATGTAAGCCTACTAGCTATGTGTAAGCCTACTAGCTATATGTAAGCATACTAGCTATACATAAGCCTTCCAGCTATACATAAGCCTACCAGCTATACATAAGCCTTCTAGCTATACATAATCCTACCAGCTATACAATAGCCTACTAGCTATACGTAAGCATACTAGCTGTACATAAGCCTTCTAGCTATACATAAGCCTGCTAGCTATACATAAGCCTACCAGCTAAACATAAGCCTACCAGCTATACATAGCCAACAGTACATATAGCAATTAATAAGCCAATCACTTTTGACTTATCAGGTATATATATTGCTTATACAGTACATTTAGTCTACAACTACAAGTCTACAGTACCTATAAATTACAAACAACTTTCCCGCAACCTCATCAAGATTTTAAACCTTGCTTACAACCCACAAACATTCCAGTAAGTGTATATTTTACAATACTATCAGATGAATTTCCAAATCTTCTATAATACTATAACATACAGTATGTGTGTCAAGCATGAAACACTGTCACAGACAGTCAGCAGACATGTTAGTTTTTTAGATGCACTGATAGGATAGGCTTCAATACACTGTTTATCATGCAGAATATATTAAGGTCAAATGTAAAATTTAGTAGAAAATTGATCAGTATCAAACCACAATAAGTATATGTATATAGACATAGCATCATACAGACTAACAATCACCAAAACACAATATATATATGTGTATATAGACATAGCATCATACAGACTAACAAACACCAAAACACAATATATATATGTGTATATAGACATAGCATCATACAGACTAACAAACACCAAAACACAATATATATATGTGTATATAGACATAGCATCATACAGACTAACAAACACCAAAACACAATATATATATGTGTATATAGACATAGCATCATACAGACTAACAAACACCAAAACACAATATATATATGTGTATATAGACATAGCATCATACAGACTAACAAACACCAAAACACAATATATATATGTGTATATAGACATAGCATCATACAGACTAACAAACACCAAAACACAATATATATATGTGTATATAGACATAGCATCATACAGACTAACAAACACCAAAACACAATATATATATGTGTATATAGACATAGCATCATACAGACTAACAAACACCAAAACACAAAATATATATGTGTACAGACATAGCATCATACAGACTCACAATCACCAAAACACAATATATATATGTGTATATAGACATAGCATCATACAGACTAACAAACACCAAAACACAATATATATATGTGTATATAGACATAGCATCATACAGACTAACAAACACCAAAACACAATATATATATGTGTATATAGACATAGCATCATACAGACTAACAAACACCAAAACACAATATATATATGTGTATATATTGATTATATAGCTTTGTTAAATGAAGTAAAAGAGACATGTTAACCCTGAAACATATATAGCAACAACCAAGAATAAAATAGAGAATTTTCAAAGGGACAAATGATAACAATTCCTGAAAACACCTCAACATCACAGAACTGACATAAGTATATGGTCTATATGATCTAGCATTCTCATTACATAGAAATGTTTATCAATTAACATTTTACTCCCGAGAATACTGTTGTCTTTATAATATCATAACTAATAAGTTACAAGCTTACTTGTCTTCACTACAGTACATACATTTCTCCTATAGGACATTTCCATCTAATAAACGTTATATAATGTTTAAACTGTGTTCATGTCCTGTGTATTGTGTGCTTTAAATAATTTAATATCATTAAAAGGTACTGGTAGGTGTACATGGAAATGTTTGAGTATGTAGAATGCAGGTGTGTGTGTGTATGTACAGATTGTGCATATCGCTACATTTTTAATTTTCTTTTTTAACTGTTCAGATGCCATGTCAGTTGTCCCAATCCTTGCATCTTATGCTAATCTTACGCTGGAGCAACAAAACAAAAGTTGTGGGTGGAAACCCAATCTACCTTACACACTAAGCCATGTAATATTCCCAAAAATCTGTTTTGTTAAATCGTCAAGCTTTTACATTTGCATTTGGGATCGTTTTTGCACAAGAACAACTAAAAACTGAACCAAAGTCAGGTGCGACCGGTCCATGTTCATGAGAATATTACATACAGAGCACAGAAGAACTGAGATAGAATTAACGTCTGGATGAATTCACACACCAATCTTCACACCAAACAATACATAATATTGGGCATTGAATACATATTGGTCCGTGAATTTAAATGTCAGTTAACAATCATTAAAAAAAAATCCAAATTTTATTCTTTAGATCTCAACAATTTATTCAATTAGGATTTAAAGCATACCACTATCAATCATAATCGAGTTTTTTAATTTGACAATAAAAAAAATGTTAATTCCATGTACATATCTATCATATCTAACAATCGTCCCGGTAACAGAAAATGTCTTTTTAAAATCTCACTATAAATAAATATCATAATGTACATGGAAATTAATGGACCGTATCTTTTAAACAGATCTATTTATATATTTAGTGGCAAGTTTAAGACTTGTACGAGATATCAGATAAGAATGAAAATTCTTTAATTACAAACTCAGATTACTCTGTCAATATTGTCAGAGCTTTGCAATTGTCTTGTTCGACAGAAATAAGAGTGTATGTTAAAGTACGGTATTTAATATCATTGGAATCTTCACATGCTTTTAAGCCTTTAACTGAAATGAAAAATAATACTACAGTACTAACATTGATAAAGGCATTTATGTAATTTGCAATGCATTTTTATTAAAGTTGGAAAAATTTTTTAATATTAGGAGGAAACTGTATTTTTATTGGTAATGAAAAGTTGAGATTTTATAAAATAATTCATAAATGACAGTTGATTCTCTCAGGAAAAAAAATCAATGAGAATTATAACAATATACTAATCACTACTATGTATAAATGTATATTATTCCTAACAAAACAAGTATATTAAAGATGTATGAAAGTAATTACAAGGTCCTATACGTATACAAAATGTACACAGTGTTGTCTGCATCAGACAACAATTGAAAAAAAGAATTTGAAAAATTCATTCCATATGTATATAAATTGAACGTCCCAGTGCTTAAAAATGCAATATTAAAATACCACTGTCATGCTTCGAAGATCTTTACTGAACTGTGAGTGTAAATGCTACGTGTTGTATTTTTGTGTCGTTTCTTGCAATTTTCAGCCACATTTTGGGCAAATAACATTAGAGTTACTACTGTGTATCTTGAGCAATATATGTAAAAACATTGCTGAAGAGGTTAATTAAAAATCTTTAATTCAAGAAGTGGTTGTTTATATGAATGAAAATCAAATGTAAAATTTGTATTCCTCACTTCATAATTAATTCTAGATACAAAGTTAAATGATTTCATCGTCCTACAATAACAATTTTAACAAACAGGGGTTACAAGGTGGTGTAGTTCTGTGTTATAGATTATTTGTGATGGAAAATATCCAGTTTTACTACCAGGTATTAAGAAATTCTAGTTTGTGAGCAACTATGTAATGTATTGATATAATAAACAGTTATAATTATGTATCTAATATTGAACCATTAGAATATTAATAAAGTGATTTAATTGTCTTAAACCATCAGAATATTAATGAATGAATTTAATTGTCTTAAACTACCAGAATATTAATGAATGAACTTAATTGTCTTAAACTACCAGAATATTAATGAATGAACTTAATTGTCTTAAACTACCAGAATATTAATGAATGAATTGTGGACTTTTTTCTCTCTTGTACTCTGAAGTAGATATTATAGAAGCATTTAAGCCCAAGAAGTAGGATTTTTTTCTAAGTAAATTTCCACTCAGTTCTACAAACTGCATATCAAAGTGAATTTAAAAGATTGTAAATGGATTTAAAGACAATGACATAATCTAACAGAATGGAAGAATGCTATTCTAATTTCTCTCTTACATACGACGTTAACTTACTTTCCTAAACTAATCTGTTTAGTTAAGAGGGTGTTACCTGTGACAAATTCCTAATTTTTAACCGATTGGTAAAAGACACATGTGTATTGAAAAATGCAACTCTTCTAACAGTGCCACTCCATCACCTGTGTGTATTGTTCCTACAAATGTGCAAATCTTACACACAAGACGACAACAACGAAGCTGATTAGTATGATGAGGCAAAGGCCTCGCATCAGTACTTGCACATTATTATGCAACAAGTGTGCCATATCATGATTAGAGAGTTCAATCTTTGTCCATTGTATGCAAAGGCTGGATAAAAGCTTGATAATGTAAACGTCTCAAGGCAATTGAGTGATGTTTCAATCAGTGTTCGTTTATCAGTCTTATTTCTTAATGTTGGTTTAAATCTGGTATATATATCATGAGTTGAAATGATTTTTATAATGCATATCAAATTACATAAATTGAGTGATTCTAACTCAGGTTTATATATAAAGTACCTGTCAACTTTGTATCATTTAGATCAATTGTAAAATGACAACAGATTGTAGTTTAATTGATATGAAGATCTGGAATATGAACTCAGACATGATGTATGTTTATTAAATGTTGGTGTGTGGAAGAAAGCATTGACCAGTTCACAAAAAGTTCAGAATCCTTTTTTATATCTTGTATTCTTAAACCTGTGATTGATATAATGCAGGAAATCACCATCAGATTAAAAAAATTTTTTCGAGCGATATTGACAATTAAGGTTGCATTTGAAATTTTAAAAAATTATAAATATGTATATTTATATGAATTCGCGAAATGCTAAATCTCATTTTCATTTTAATTCATCATTCTCTATATATAATGAAAAACACAACTTTCTCAAAAATAGCTTAACACTTAAAACTGTCAACCGATTATAATTCAGATGTTGAGGTCGATGTATTACTTGTAGGTGTATCTGTTACAGGTATTTGATACAGTTTAGGTTTTGTATGAGGTGTTTTAGGCCATGTGTCATTGATCATTTAGGACACCCTTTGTTGATCCCCATCTCTGTTAGACATACATGTTGTGTCCTGATCTAGTAAGGCTTCATATACAACAATAAGTGGTTATATTAATGCAAAGTAAAGGCAAAATATTGCAAAAACCGAACAACATAGTATTTAATGAGTTACACCAGTCAAGACATACAGGGCTCCTGTATTTACCTGACAAACAGGTAAATAGAATTTTTAAACATCAAAAGAGAAAGGCAATTAGATGAAAATAAATATCTTATATACATGGAAACTGATGGAACTTAATCTTTTAAATGGATCTCTTAATATTTGTAAAATCAGTGCTCGTTTTAAACCTGTAATTAAGAAAGATAGCATGAAGGATGAGAATTTTTATATTACAAACTTAGATTTACCTTTATGTTCATAATGTCAGAGCTTAACAATTTATGTTGCAATATATATGAGAGGGTATGTAAAAGTAATTAGTATCATTAGAATCTACACATGCTTTTACAAATTAATTGATTCTGATTGTATAACACCAGGGCCCATATTCGTAAAACCGTTCTTCTCGTGCTCAAGCATAGATTTTGTGCTCAAGCCTTATGTCTTATTTAAGTTAAAAATAAATAAATAAGGCTGATTTTGCCAAGGATTTTAAAAACATTTGAAAGAACTTCAAGTCAAAGTTATATTCAATGTTTGTATTTGACATTTGTATTATTTTATATGATTTAGGTGAATTATAAAAAAGTTTGCTTGAGCACAAAATCTATGCTTGAGCATGAGAATGGTTTCATGAATATTGGCCCAGAAGTTTGGCACTGTTGGAACTTTGTGAAACAGACATGAAACCACAGTCACAGAAGAATACAGAGCACAGATAAAATCACATCCATAGTGCCATGCAAACATGAGGAATCGAAAACAATAACCAAGAAGTTAATGAAAGCAAAAAGACTTAGTGACAAAACACCAAGGAAAAGACAAAAATGATAGTCTTGTAAGAAACCATTCAGAGGATTTTTCCATGGTATTGCAACGATACAAAATAGCTGACAAGGAAAACAACCTTTTCAGGCAACTTGTCAAGGAAGCCATCCTCACACACCTATGACCAAGTGTTCAAATAAGCATAGGCAAGCAAATACAGTGCATTACCATCTTGTGTGATTTTTTTTCTATAATATGTTTACCATCTCATCAATCTTATTGTACATAGAAGTACAGCCAAAAAGGTTGGTCAATTTCCTTACCATCTCCTACACTACGTTTGAAAGTGCTAGAACGCTTCACATGGATCATTTGTCTGATGAAGGTGGCTGTGTAGTCATCACACTCAAACCTTCTACTGGTTGTGTTATAAGGACTTCTGTTCTACATATCATTTAAGATAATTAAGAACTTCTTGGAAGAACAAAAAGTATAATAATATCACATTATATCACACTGCTAATTTGAGCCTCGCTATTTGAATGTCTTACCTGTTCTTGGGTTGTCTGTATAAAGCAGGATTCCAAAGCATTTTCATTATCAAGGTAGATAAATGGAACAAGAAAACAGCTGTTAAGCATTTCTCAAAGACAAAGAGTAAGGCATCAGGTATTTATAATGATTTCATTTACACCTTATCAATGACAAAACCAAATTTTGATGAGGAGAACTATTTGAAAGAGACCAAATGTACCTAAATTACTCAATGTTTTCTTTTTGTGATCATAAATAGAAACTGAAATGTTCCTGCAAACATAATTATGAGCTCCACTATGACAAGAAAACATGAACATTTTGTCAAAACTGGCCTAATGATATCAAAAAGTGGAAAATGCTTCAATCTGCCACAAACCAAATCAGAAATCTGGAAATATGTATTAGCATTGTGGTCTCCCCTGCAGTGGAGGATAATACATACATGACATCATAATGTGATATTGGCAAGAATAGTTTGACCTCAGAAACAGGTAAGATTTTTGTTGTCCAAATTAGGGGTGTGAGGTATTATCGGTATACCGGTATATCAAGGTTCATCATTAAAAAGATATGTATCGCAGTACGACTTAGATGTATCGGTTCACTCGGAGCCTGTTGGAAATCATCTTTAGTTACCGTGAAAAGTTCGTTTAGTAATGGAAATTTTGAATATAAAATCATTTATACTTAAATTTTTATGCGTAAATCCCTAATACTGTGATAATTCATTCGAATTTATGTTTTTGAGATGATAAGTATTGATGAATCCATCGTTGAGTGCTTAGTAACGTATCCAAAATAGCGGCCTTCATAGGCACAGACGATAGCATAGTGAAAAACCCGAAGGGAAAGACTGATGTTTGGAAGCACTTCTGAAGGGGGAAGCTAGACGCGAAGAAAATGTTGCTGGGTGCAACATTTGTAGAGCTGTAGTTAAGTGTAGCGGCGGAACAACTAATCTTACAACTCAATTAAGATGCCATCACCCGACATGTGTTCCATTATCATCATCATGCAGTGTTACTACTAGTACTAAAAACCCGGAATTACAACATGATATGAGTTTGAGTTTGGATATCTAATATCTAAAAGAAGTTATTAAATAATTAAAGATCCATTTTACAGTTGTTTTGCATTTGGTTTTATTGTATAATCTGCATTATTGTTTCGCTTAAAGAAAATGGATGGATTTCTTCTTACAGTGAAATATCATGATATGTATCATGATATGCTGATCATGTATTGCGATATATTGCGATACGAAAATTCTCACAATACCCATCCCTAGTCCAAATCTGTCATTTTGGAGAGTAAATTACATTGAAATGATTTCTTGATGTATATTGCACAAATGAGATTGGTTTTAAAAGTCTCTTTGGGAGAGATATCAAATTTCTTTAGTAAAATAATTGATCAGATACAGCAGAAAACGTTAATTGTAAGCCAGAAAATGATAAATTATTTACACATGTATCTTGTTATCAACTTCCTAAAGCTGCAACTTTTTTAAACAAAATGTTGTAAAACTCTACACATTTGGAAACCATATTTAAAAGCACGACACACATTTTAATGAATACCCATCATTAAATTTAATGTTCTCTTTATCAGATGTTATTACATATTCCTTACTCTTACCTTCACAATTTTCTGCTGACAAAGAATACTTGTTGAGCTGACACTTCGCTGGTATAGGGCACTAGATGGCAGCACTGAAACACTGGACCTCCCAGCTCTCCCAATCAAAGTCAACCCCAACTATCAACAAAAGTAATTAGTGATATTACAAACAATGTCAGCAATAAGGGTAGGAGATCTCATTCCAACAACTTGTCATTTTCTGTAAGGGTAGGAGAAATCAGTCCAACAACTTGTTATTTTCTGTAAGGTAGGACACATCAGTCCAACAACTTGTTATTTTCTGTAAGGGTAAGAGACATCAGTCCAACAACTTGTTATTTTCTTTAAGGGTAGGAGAAATCAGTCCAACAACTTGTTATTTTCTTTAAGGGTAGGAGACATCAGTCCAACAACTTGTTATTTTCTGTAAGGTAGGACACATCAGTCCAACAACTTGTTATTTTCTGTAAGGGTAAGAGACATCAGTCCAACAACTTGTTATTTTCTGTAAGGTAGGACACATCAGTCCAACAACTTGTTATTTTCTGTAAGGGTAAGAGACATCAGTCCAACAACTTGTTATTTTCTGTAAGGGTAGGAGAAATCAGTCCAACAACTTGTTATTTTCTGTAAGGGTAGGAGACATCAGTCCAACAACTTGTTATTTTCTGTAAGGTAGGAGAAATCAGTCCAACAACTTGTTATTTTCTGTAAGGGTAGGAGAAATCAGTCCAACAACTTGTTATTTTCTTTAAGGGTAGGAGATCTCAGTCCAACAACTTGTTATTTTCTGTAAGGGTAGGAGAAATCAGTCCAACAACTTGTTATTTTCTGTAAGGGTAGGAGAAATCAGTCCAACAACTTGTTATTTTCTGTAAGGTAGGAGATCTCAAGTATTTTCTGTAAGGGTAGGAGAAATCAGTCTGAACAACTTGTTATTTTCTGTAAGGTAGGAGAAATCAGTCCAACAACTTGTTATTTTCTGTAAGGGTAGGAGAAATCAGTCCAACAACTTGTTATTTTCTGTAAGGGTAGGAGATCTCAGTCCAACAACTTGTTATTTTCTGTAAGGTAGGACACATCAGTCCAACAACTTGTTATTTTCTGTAAGGTAGGACACATCAGTCCAACAACTTGTTATTTTCTGTAAGGGTAGGAGAAATCAGTCCAACAACTTGTTATTTTCTGTAAGGTAGGAGATCTCAGTCCAACAACTTGTTATTTTCTGTAAGGTAGGAGAAATAAGTCCAACAACTTGTTATTTTCTGTAAGGGTAGGAGAAATAAGTCCAACAACTTGTTATTTTCTGTAAGGGTAGGACACATCAGTCCAACAACTTGTTATTTTCTGTAAGGGTAGGAGATCTCAGTCCAACAACTTGTTATTTTCTGTAAGGGTAGGAGAAATCAGTCCAACAACTTGTTATTTTCTGTAAGGGTAGGAGAAATCAGTCCAACAACTTGTTATTTTCTGTAAGGTAGGAGAAATAAGTCCAACAACTTGTTATTTTCTGTAAGGGTAGGAGAAATAAGTCCAACAATTTGTTATTTTCTGTAAGGGTAGGACACATCAGTCCAACAACTTGTTATTTTCTGTAAGATAGGAGATCTCAGTCCAACAACTTGTTATTTTCTGTAAGGGTAGGAGATCTCAGTCCAACAACTTGTTATTTTCTGTAAGGGTAGGAGAAATCAGTCCAACAACTTGTTATTTTCTGTAAGGGTAGGAGAAATCAGTCCAACAACTTGTTATTTTCTGTAAGGGTAGGAGAAATCAGTCCAACAACTTGTTATTTTCTGTAAGGGTAGGAGAAATCAGTCCAACAACTTGTTATTTTCTGTAAGGGTAGGAGAAATCAGTCCAACAACTTGTTATTTTCTGTAAGGGTAGGAGAAATCAGTCCAACAACTTGTTATTTTCTGTAAGGGTAGGAGAAATCAGTCCAACAACTTGTTATTTTCTGTAAGGGTAGGAGAAATCAGTCCAACAACTTGTTATTTTCTGTAAGGGTAGGAGAAATCAGTCCAACAACTTGTTATTTTCTGTAAGGGTAGGAGATCTCAGTCCAACAACTTGATATTTTCTGTAAGGGTAGGACACATCAGTCCAACAACTTGTTATTTTCTGTAAGGGTAGGAGAAATCAGTCCAACAACTTGTTATTTTCTGTAAGGGTAGGAGAAATCAGTCCAACAACTTGTTATTTTCTGTAAGGGTAGGAGAAATCAGTCCAACAACTTGTTATTTTCTGTAGGGTAGGGTAGGTTATTTTCTGTAAGGGTAGGACACATCAGTCCAACAACTTGTTATTTTCTGTAAGGTAGGAGATCTCAGTCCAACAACTTGTTATTTTCTGTAAGGGTAGGAGATCTCAGTACAACAACTTGTTATTTTCTGTAAGGGTAGGAGAAATCAGTCCAACAACTTGTTATTTTCTGTAAGGGTAGGAGAAATCAGTCCAACAACTTGTTATTTTCTGTAAGGGTAGGAGAAATCAGTCCAACAACTTGTTATTTTCTGTAAGGGTAGGAGAAATCAGTCCAACAACTTGTTATTTTCTGTAAGGGTAGGAGAAATCAGTCCAACAACTTGTTATTTTCTGTAAGGGTAGGAGATCTCAGTCCAACAACTTGTTATTTTCTGTAAGGGTAGGAGAAATCAGTCCAACAACTTGTTATTTTCTGTAAGGGTAGGAGAAATCAGTCCAACAACTTGTTATTTTCTGTAAGGGTAGGAGAAATCAGTCCAACAACTTGTTATTTTCTGTAAGGGTAGGAGAAATAAGTCCAACAACTTGTTATTTTCTGTAAGGGTAGGAGACATCAGTCCAACAAATTGTTATTTTCTGTAAGGTAGGACACATCAGTCCAACAACTTGTTATTTTCTGTAAGGTAGGAGAAATCAGTCCAACAACTTGTTATTTTCTGTAAGGTAGGAGAAATCAGTCCAACAACTTGTTATTTTCTGTAAGGGTAGGAGAAATCAGTCCAACAACTTGTTATTTTCTGTAAGGTAGGAGATCTCAGTCCAACAACTTGTTATTTTCTGTAAGGTAGGACACATCAGTCCAACAACTTGTTATTTTCTGTAAGGTAGGAGAAATCAGTCCAACAACTTGTTATTTTCTGTAAGGTAGGAGAAATCAGTCCAACAAATTGTTATTTTCTGTAAGGGTAGGAGACATCAGTCCAACAAATTGTTATTTTCTGTAAAGTAGGACACATCAGTCCAGCCTGTATTACTCACATGGATATAGAAATATTAACACACAAAAAAAAAAGTCCAATGCACGAAAGAAATTCTATATAGTGCTGGTGTTCATAATATCACAAAGAAAGAACACACTTGATACTCTCATTTTCAAGAAAGGTGTTGAATTTTTAACAAACTTTACTCCTGTGACTTTGAAATGTGGTTAATGTAATTTTTTGAGAAAACCAAGTATTTATCAAATATAACCTCTGTGATTTGAATATGAAAGGTCAAGGTCATTTACATGAAGCCTTGGAACTTGCCATCCTAAGAACATATATGTACTTGATGACAAAATACTAAGACCCTGTCTACCTGAACTTTAGAAAAAGTATTTTTCAAGTTTTTGACATGTTTGATCCCTCTGACCTTGAAATAAGGTCAAGATCATCTACCCCGTATATGGGGAAGCTTAACAATACTATATCCCAGGTACAGGCTTATGTTGGGGAAACATCAGAAATCTAGAAATCAAGAATCTTTGTAAAATTTTAACATATTTTGTCCCTGTGACTATTACTTCATTGCACTCTATACCAGGTACATTCTGGTCAAATATCAGTGTCATGTTTTTCATAAGGAAATGGTTAAAAGGTTTGGGTGACAGATAATTGATCCTTCACAATACCATAAACTCACTTGCAGTGGCATTTCACCATGTGAGCTAGAACTTAGAAACCTTCTGCCAAAATTTCAAGCCAAATAAAAGCAATAATTATACTCAAGATCTATTTAGGTATAACATAATGATACCTATTCATTTTAAAGAGCCCTTTACGAATGAATGAATGAATGAATTATACCTATTCATTTTAAAGAGCCCTTTACGTAAGTTGGTTAAGAAGGATAATATTCAGTGTTCCAAGAAAAACAAATAATCAAAAATCAATAATTTATCTTTAGGTGGTAGAATGGTAAAAGCTGACTGTATGCATGAAGTATTATCAAAACACAATACATCAGTGTTTTTCTCCTTGATTACATATATATATACATGTTCCTCCATAACAGTTTTGATTAAAATTACAAATTGGTTTAAGTAAAAGAATACATGAACAAGAATTCTGCATAATCATGTCTCTCACCAATGTCCCGCTTTGTTAGTTTTAAGCATGAAAGGAATATTTCATACATTTTCATTTCTTAAAATTCACTCAAATATAGTATTCATAGATTTTAACCCAAAAATATTACTATTCTGAAAAAAGGAGAGGAAAACTTGTCTCACAATTTACGATTCTAGTTTCGGAGAATTATATAGAACAAACCATAAATATTTTGTTGTCATTTCTCAAAATCTGAAGTTTTGACCCCAAAAATAGAAAAAAAAATTATGTGATGTATTTGGTGGGTTCAGATGTCCTTTCCACAATGTAACTATAATCGTAGTTTGAGTTGAACAGAAGCTGTTTACTGCATAAGAACATGAGGCAAATGCCAAACTTGAGGCAAATGCAGCATTCCTAATTTTGAAAGTTGTTAAATCATAAATTATGGAAGATGTTTTATAAACAATGGATGTAGCGTGTCCACAATGTCCTATGATCTTGGAAGTGGGTGGTCATTTTAAGCAATTAGGTAGCCTTTCATCCCAGTTCGGTACAGACTCAGGATTAACTGTTTGGTTATTGAGAAGTCATTTAAAGGGATGACAAAAGATGGATGGACCTTACAGTAATAAGTTATGAAAACTTTAGCTCACTTCCTTTGCAGGCAGGTCAGCTAAAAATAAATTTTAAATTTGCACTGCCATTATTACCAACAAGGAAATAACAACAACGAGAAAACAGTTTATGTCCATTACATTTCCCAGTCATCTGCCTCCTTATCAGACCTAAACAACACACAATACATGTTTAGCAAAATAAAGAAAACTGAGAATAGAATTATTGTTCATATTGCGACTAATTTAGTCATTAAATAAAAACAGTAACTTCTTAAATAAAAGCCTTCTTTTGAACAACATATATATGATTTATCTTTTTCTGAATTCATAGTATCATTATTTTCCTTATAACCTCTTAAAAGAAGAGTACAGAAGAAATGGAATGTGTAATACAAAACTTTCCAAACACACATACATGATTACCCGACATTATAGACAAAACATTTATATTTTATACACAAACATGTACACACAAAGTATCAGATTATATGGCACATTAATTCATAAAAGTCTCTGTAAAGATTCATTTTATTATAACGAGACTATTGAATAAAACTTTTAGTCTATAGTACAGGCAAAATACATAGTGTAGAAACACTACATTATACATATGTAATGAGACTGTAGTGTAGATTACAGTGTAGAAACACTACATTATACATATGTAATGAGACTGTAGTGTAGATTACAGCATAGAAACACTACACTTTACATATGTAATGAGACTATAGTGTAGATTACAGCGTAGAAACACTACATTATACATATGTAATGAGACTGTAGTGTAGATTACAGCATAGAAACACTACACTTTACATATGTAATGAGACTGTAGTGTAGATTACAGTGTAGAAACACTACATTATACATATGTAATGAGACTGTAGTGTAGATTACAGCATAGAAACACTACACTTTACATATGTAATGAGACTATAGTGTAGATTACAGCGTAGAAACACTACATTATATTTATGTAATGAGACTGTAGTGTAGATTACAGTGTAGAAACACTACATTATACATATGTAATGAGACTGTAGTGTAGATTACAGCATAGAAACACTACACTTTACATATGTAATGAGACTATAGTGTAGATTACAGCGTAGAAACACTACATTATATTTATGTAATGAGACTGTAGTGTAGATTACAGTGTAGAAACACTAAATTATACTTATGTAATTGTAACAGAGGTCATTTGTCATCTCAATGCCTCCGCTAGGAATCGAACTCGGGACCCCTGGCTTACTAGTCTGACGCTCAACCAATCGAGCTAAAGAGAAGTTCTCCCTAGCCGAGTGGTATATTGCGGCTAGTATTTACCAGGGTTACATACTCCCCCTCCAGGAAATAACTCGTCCTCGAGTTTCCAGGGGTTACAGCGATGCTGATGGGCATGGCTAAGTACTATTCCCGGGTCCCTACACGGGCGCCAATGTAACAGAGGTCATTTTTCATCTCAATGCCTCCGCTAGGAATCAAACCTGGGACCCCTGGCATACTAGTCTGATGCTCAACCAATCGAGCTAAAGAGAAGTTCTCTCTAGCCGAGTGGTATATTGCGGCTAGTATTTACCAGGGTTACATAATGAGACTGTAGTGTAGATTACAGTGTAGAAACACTACATTATACATATGTAATGAGACTGTAGTGTAGATTACAGCGTAGAAACACTACATTATACATATGTAATGAGACAGTAGTGTAGATTACAGCGTAGAAACACTACATTATACATATGTAATGAGACTGTAGTGTAGATTACAGTGTAGAAACACTACATTATACATATGTAATGAGACTGTAGTGTAGATTACAGTGTAGAAACACTACATTATACATATGCAATGAGACTGTAGTGTAGATTACAGCATAGAAACACTACATTATACATATGTAATGAGACTGTAGTGTAGATTACAGCATAGAAACACTACATTATACATATGTAATGAGACTGTAGTGTAGATTACAGTGTAGAAACACTACATTATACATATGTAATGAGACTGTAGTGTAGATTACAGTGTAGAAGTTGTAAACATCCCTTCACTAGTATCTAAGTTATAATTTTCCCTTAAAGGAGAGAGTAACATAGAAATAGAGAGCACAGTGATGACCTTAATAGCATAAACCGATAGGAACTTCTGTTTAACAAAACAGTAGGGTGTTTGCCTAGGGAGCAAAAGGTAAATAGTTTGAGCTCCAGCAAGGGCACCAGACAATGTTCTTTATTTCCTGGTATTATACGAGAATTCACACAAGCAATATATACATACAGGTAAGATTATCATTTGGCAATCTTTAGAACTATCCACAATTCACAGTGTAAATAGTAGTAAGTGTCACTAAGTACATAAGTATCTGTAATGTCCTAATTTGTATTCGTTACTGTCCATGCATTTATGTGTATGTCCTTATTTGGTGTGTTATCTGTTCAGTATTGTCAGTGTCTGTCCTTATATGGTGTTGTCTTGAGACATGTAAGTGTCCAGGTGTGACAGGTGAGGAAGTCGTGCGAGAGTGAGTGTGTAGAGTAACAAAACTAAGGATACCCCTGGGTGCGGGGCAGAACTACAGAATAGCCACGTCGCTCTGGACGTCCTCCGGAGTCCAGATGCCACATATAGCGACAGGTATACATTACTAACACAACCTGACGGTTGGCAACATGAGGTGCATTCGTGGAAACCAGCTAGCAAATATATATGTGCATGCCATTGATAGACCTGGGGTACAAATAAAAGAACTTTAAACACACAATGAATCCAGGTGTGACACACAGTTATAGGAACTTGGCAGACAACACAAGAAGATATGAACCAATTAAATGGCCATTCTGATTTCATAAGATACACAAGGCCAAAAGAAATTCTGTAATATTCTAAATGATATTCTTTGGAAAGAAATTAAGATAAACAAATTGATTCATTCTTTGATATATACAAATGTATTTAGCAACAGGTTCTCCCATATTTAGGTCTCTGCTTCTATGAGGCAAGTAAGGAAAAAGCAAATGATGTGGCCATGTACATCAAGTTTGGAACTTAGACCTGCAGCATCTAAAAGGACCTTCTAATCAAAGGAGCTACATCTCTATAACACAGTGATATGGATATACTTACACATGTGTTACTCACAAGCAACCTACTGAAGCAACACATTTCAAACAACAAATGCTGTTGGTTTAATCCAATTATTCAGTCTGGTAGGATGACAATAATAGCTTTTGTAAGCCAAACAGAAAAATTAAATCCATAATTTCTTATCTAGATTGAATAATACCACATGGACTGTGAATGAGGAATAGTTCCAATGCAATATATATGTAACAGTAACAACTCTAATCTCTACAACCACTAGGTAACTAGTATACAATAAACCTATTGGCTGTGTAATATACTGTAGGCCGAGAGCAGTATCTGCCTGTAAGATAATCAATATTGAAGATTCAATATTTGATCGTTTTCCTGTTGGAGTTATATGGTGGAAATGTTGTTGAACCGTCCCAGTCGTGTTCACCCGGCGTACATGTGAAAGCATTACATACACCCGGTCACTTCATGGAAACTTAGCTATTTCAGTGGCTAAGCAACATTGAATGTGCGTCCAGTGCGCGGATGCAACCACGCATACATAATTTCAACAATAACGCAATGATGTATAGAGTTACAATATGGGTATTAAATACAGTATCTGATCAAGTTATGATGAATACATTACCTTTCCTGTCACGAACGAGCTCCTTGCAAACGCCATGGTTGAAGTTATGAAGTGGCGTGAGAAAACATCGTGAGAAATGTCAGCGGAGTGATATCAGCTAAAGAAATAACCAATCAGATTGGTCGTTACAGGAAATTAATTGAAAAGGCGAAATTTCTGCGTTGTTTTTATAATTATGTTGTGATCCATAAAACGTTTAAAATGTCATTTCCATATTATTCCTTTATAAATATGATATAGACATCGGTAACCAAGACAAAAAGTCATATAGTTATCGCGAACTATATTTTTAAACAAATCGAAACTAGGAAAGTCTAAATTTAGACATAATCAACGAGCACATGTATCACATATGCCCCGATGATGATACCGCTTAGCTCAACTGCAATTAGTTACAACTTGCGATATTAAGACTTATCTTGTGCGATGTAAGTAAATTTACAATGGGTATTTATTGTGTAGTTTAAAAAGCTACAACATTAAAACAAAAGCTACAAATAGTAAAAATTACATAATAGTTAGTTGAATTCATCTTGAATGATGACCAAGTAAGATGGTGATTCGTGTAAGAACATGGATTTTATTATGTGGTATGTCCATAGTAAATATTAAGAAACTTTTAACTCGACATGTGAGAATCTTAATTTGACGTTCGCAGGGGCATTTTCGGCCCGAAATATTTTAAACCAATTGAATGTGTACAAAGCATTGCAATATGACAAAGTTTTATGTTCACCAAACACAGATAGTTTTCCGCTAAGCTGTTTGATTATCGTGATGACTCTCATTTTCCATTTCTATAGTGTAATAAGTCTAGTTTCCCGGGCATTAGGGATGTATTCGACCCAATGCATCATGTCGAGCAGCAAGGGAAATAATCCTTACAGATTGGATCTGTTACATGAATTTTAGAACATTGACAGTTCGCAATATTTATTAACGATTGTTTCTATTTCAAATGAGGTTGGTGAGCCTTGCTAATTTTTCGTTTTCATCTCACTAGAGGCTCGGTAAAATTCTTTTTTCAATACGAGTTCCTCTTTATATCATATGTAATAGGTTCTGCTATTTTCCTCGCCATTTGTATTATAACATTGATACCAAAGAATTAACTTTATCAAATGCATATGTATTATAACGGCTACATGGTTTTTTTTTCATTTATCATACAAAGCAGTCTGATAATGATGGTAACATTAGAAAGTTACACATTTAAGTCTGGTTATAAGTCCAGTTGAAAAATTGCTGGTTACGGATATCATTTTGCAAGTGTGTATGAGTTTTTTTTTGTGTCTCGTGAGCCAATTAATGGCTGGACATGTTGCTTGGATGTTTAGATGACTTAGAAATTAAACATTCGCCTAATATCTATATGTATATATTTATACTTTAGAATATAATCTAGTAATATCGACGGTATAGTCCAATGTTGGTCCTGGATCCTATCAAACAAATGTTCGTTGGATGCGTATTACTGGAATAGATATATGATCAATGAAGTAATAACGACAGTACGGACATATAAACTGTCAAATTTTCGAGGCAATCAGCCCCTTTATCAAGAATTATATCTAAAGTTACATCACATACATAGAACATAAAGCAAAGACAAAAGTGTAAATCTGTACTTATGTATTATAAACGCATATTTTGTGTCGTGTTTTAGTATTTTATTGAGGTTATGATGTAATAGTGTCTATTTCCTGTGTAAATTATATGTAACCTTTCATAATTGTTCTGTAATAAAAGCATTGTTGCTATGTTAATTGGTCTCGAATCAATATATTATAATTTTCAAAACTGTGCAGATTGTGATCATATCGACCCCGGGCTAGCAAATATACGGTAGAGATATCACCAATATGATCAGTCGTTATGTGTACATAGCCTAATGATGTCAATTCGTCCAATCACATTTGCTTTGGGTGTTTGGGGGTAGTTTGGGGGTAGTTTTGTGTGTTTTAGGGTAAATAGTTCTTCACTGGCGCATTTACTTCGGACTTGTTCCTAGTACGAAGGGTCCTTGCTATCTATCCTCAATTTTATTTGATTTTTTAAAAAGTTTTTTTGTCCCTCACATCTCCATTTCTGTTGCAGGTATCCTTACATTTAAGATGTAAAACTATTCAGAACATTTTTAGAAATATATCATTAAAGATATAGGCAGTTTGGAGTTTCTTGGCTAGGTGATTTAGTGAAGTAGATCGTGAGAACGAGGCCCAGACAGGACACAAGTATGAAATTGCCTTTCTTTGTCAATTGTGGCATATTGGAAAATATCAATATATTAACGCATTGCATCATATATAGTAATGTTGTTGATACAAAGAAGGTTCCAGATTTGAGTAACCTGTCGTAATTGTATCCGAGTTTGATATACGTAATAATATCTGTGTGTAAATTATAATTGACAGTACGATATATTGATGTTCAACACTATTATAAGTTTGTGTACAGGTATTGTAGTATCTACAACACGGATAAGTCTTCCATGTGTACTTGATGATAGAAGATATCGAAACTGTAACACGTGTATTTAGTTCTATAAGATGAAATACAATTCAGGATCAATAACACAACATCTGTGGCATGATTGGAAAGAAGACTTTTTAATACGAGATCTGAATACTTAATGAGTTCATTATTCAGCTTACTGGACCGGCGAGCTTATGCCATTACGCACCGTCCATCCTTAAGCGTCCGACGTCCGTCAACTTTTTAATTGCGATTGCCTTTTGTCCGGCGTCGTGTGTCGTCCGTCGAAAACAATTGACATTTTTGACTTCTTCTTAAAAACCAAAAGTTCCAGAGTGCTGATGTAAAGAACTATAAAAGCTTGTTGAAATGAATTACATTTACCCACTTTCAAGGTCACATGTGTCAAATGTGTTGAAATCTTAAAACAACTTCTTCTCAAAAAATAAAAGGCCCAGGCCTTTAGCATGCTAGCGTGAAGGGCTACCAAGTTTGTTAAAATGAATTACCTAGATCCACTTTCAAGACACAGGTGTCAAATGTGTTAGGATCTTCAAACCACTTCTTTCAATAACCAAAAGGCCTAGGGTGCTGATACTGGGCCTGCAGCATTCATGGATGAAGGACAACCAAATTAGTATAAAAGAATAACCTCGACCAACTGTCAAGGTCAAGGGCTTCTGATGTGTTGAAATCTTTAAGCGAATTCTTTTCAATAACCAATAGGCCCAGGGTGCTGATATTGGGCCAGTAGCATACTTGTATGAAGGTCTATCAGGTTTGTTTAAATTAATTACCTTGACTTTTGTTCAAGGTCATAGGTGTCAAATATGCTAAACAGGGGGTGTTATCATTTCCGTTTGAAAATTAAGCCTTAAAACCTAGAAACTGTAAAATTTTTGTAAGTATGTATATATCAGTTCTGCTCTTCCTGCCCAAATGCTGTGTTTTATGTTCAGTTTCTTCAACTGTCCAAAGACATGAAGACCTCAGGTAATCGTTAAAAAACGCGACTAGTAAGGAACGACAACAGATTTTGACAAAATTTGGTCGGGAGCATCCTTGAGGGAAGTAGGATAACGTTTGTATAAACATTAGGCTACGGCATCCTGGGGCGGGAGGGGAGGGACGGGGCCCAATATGGGTAATAAAGTAAATTATTTTGAATCCTGCTATTCCTGTAGAAATGAACGGATATTGCCCAAATTTGATCTGAAGCATTCTTGGATGAAGGGGAATCAATCTTGTATAGACGTACGGTCTTTGTCCCCCTAGGACGGTAGGGACAGGGTCACCTTACAAATGAGAATATATGTGAAATGGGTCGGACCCCTGTACTGATATTTGAAGTGCCCTATGATCATAACAACTTGACACTTTTGGAAGTCACATGACACACATGCTCTTTTTGAACTATTCAAAGTGGGACGTGGTAACTTAATATAGAACATGAATCCAGGGGCGTAGCTAGACCATCAGAAATGTCCATGCCCTTTAGTGGTGGGATAGAAGGGAGGCAGCGAAGCGGAGGACAACCCCGAGGAAACGCATTTTTGGACGCGGAGAGTGCCCAACTGATCCATCTGGTCATACATATCTTGGTCACCCGTTCTTGAACATTTTGATTATTCTCCATATTCTCCATCTCTTCTATAGGGGCCAGATATACTGGGAAGAAGTGTAGCCATGACCTTTGATCGCGGAAAATAAATATTTTCTCGGAAACATATTTAGGTACGTAAATCGTATGTTGTATGTTGACAGCAAGTAGACACTGCTGATTTACATAAAGTCACCGAGATTTTTCGTATTGGGCGTACCACTGTACTTGACGCTGTTCCAAATTTATCTGGTGTATGAAAATTACGAAATTTTTTAATTATGGGACTGCTGAACCTCCCCGTCTAGATGATGGCTTTTCTTCAAATCACTTTGGATTTTCATCAGTCGCCTTCTATGCTTCAAAATTAGCCCCCTAAGCATCCAGTTGTATGACGTAGTTTAATCTAACTTTTGGCTCTACTGTATCTTTGTCTAATTATGAAAAGGTGTTATTCACTTGTGTGTCTTTTGTACAGTCTTGAATTGATAACACCCGGAAACGATTTTTATGATAAAGATCACTGGGTCATTATATCAGATTAAATATGTCAGGTTTGAGTACAGAATGAAATAAATAAAAATACCGAGGGTATTGATTCGGGGGAATTACTTCCCTTTGACAAGACACGTTGTAAATATTACGGATGTTTCTTTTCCGTTCATTGTTGTCACAGATCAAAACTTCATTGTCGACCTGCATTACAGATGAAGTTATAATCTGTCAGTGCGGACCTATCTCAGCAACCAACGATAAGAGCATCCGGTTTCCTACACGTCAGATACAATCCCTATAGAACAGCGTGTCAAAAATGCACTCACAATAATCGGCTTATAGCGATGCCATTTTAAACTAAAACAATACCAAGTTGTGCAAATATCGGATTTGAGCCGACATTGGTCTTAGAAGCAAGTTACTATCGTGTGAAATGTTGTGTGTTATCGATAGCGGTGCCACAGAAATATGGCTTCTACCTGCATTGTATATAACCTTTTACGTAGTGGCAAAGTGATTTAACAACCTAAGGAAAATAAAGACCAAGTATACTCTTCCAACCAACTAGAAAGAGTCTTTAAAATGATACTAAAAACGGTTCCAGGGTAAGAATATGGAGGTGTTGGTTTCGATTCTCGGCACCGTTATCAAATGAAACACCATTTTGGGAATCCCTTGCGGACTTGGCAAATGGATATTTACCAGGATACAAGAATCAGTGAACTAGATGAATTCTCCTCCACAATATCTTTATTGGACAATAAGAGTTAACAAAAAGGGATGGCGGGTCCTGTATTTGGTACAATGCACATCGACTTAGAGTGACCAATGTATACACCATGTGTCATTATCCTAATTAAAGAGAGCAGAGTTATGCTCCGGACACGACAATTTAACAAAGGACAATCACTCTGTAAATAAGGAGTTGTGGGCTCTGACTTTTGCACACTGCATATGATCAATATATACGGTAAGTTCCATTATCCTTGCTTAACTGCGGACAAAGACGGACGGACGACGGACAACCGCGGTATGGCATAAGATCACCGGTCCTTTGGACCAAGTTAGCTAAGATGAAGACTTTTTTAGCGATAAATATTTTATTGTAATAACTTGATAGTCAATAGGCCCATAGGACCTGTTCCGCTCAAGTGACTTTGTTTGGTTGAAATTGCTGAATCCAAACTGAAGCAAGACGACTTCCAAATAGCCAAGCACACAACGCACAACATTCCTTCAGACGAAGTAGGATTGTAGGATTTTTCTCTATTTCCTCTTATGGCTCCCATCCCTCTGACCCCAGGGGCCACCGCCAGTGTCAATATAAAATTCAGTCTCCTTCACCAAAGGATGTTTCAAATGGAACAGAATCTATCCTTTCCTACAGAAGAGTTAGGATTAGAAAGAAGTCTTCCCATAATCCTGGGGACGCCCCTTGAGACCGAGACCTAGTTTATTCAAACCTGATTTTTCCTAACCAGAGGGAGTTTCACACCAAATCTTGACAGAATCCTATCTTTCCTATTGGACAAGTATAATTTTTTAAGAACTCTTCGGGTCCCGACCAAGCCCAGAAGACCGAGACTCGTCATTTATACAAAATTTGTTCTTCCCTCTAAGTTTCATCTGACCAAATTTGGTCAAAATCCGCTTAGGCGTTCATTATTATTAGCGTTTTGTAGAAAAAAAACGACAGACCATACTATGCCATAAACTCACTTGACCCTTAAGGTCATGTGACTGAGCTACGTGCAACCGTAAATTACACACAAAATCAAATTTCGTAAAACAAACTTTACAGATCATCGTCGGAAAAGAAAGTGTGACAAGTCCAGAAATATAATAGTAACGAGAACAACGACAAGGATAACGATGGCCACACAACCCATATAGACTGACGTGTTCCGGTTGTCTGCCATGCTGTGTTTCCGGCGGTATGTGGACGAAAGCGAGGCTCTGTCGACCGTAAGAATTTGTCTGAACTCCTCCAGTATGTTCGCAATATTAGCTGTGGTGTCTTGATATAGAGGAGCACACACACAACAACATGAATCAGTGTCGAAACTGGTCGAGCTCTGACATGTTGACACAGCAGTGCTCTGAAGTGATCCGGAAGCAGACTCCGTCGATGTGATAGTATATACACCGGAAACATCGTCTAAGGATGATGTGGCAATGTTAGAATCCGATTGGGTCTTATCGAGAACCGTAGCAGAGATAGTCTGTGTTGATGTTGAACTAACGTCGCTTAAATATGTTGTGGATGGCGAGGCAGAAATTGGTGTGGCAGATACAGTCGTTTCCGATATAGTCTCCGTTGTGCCAAATCCAGGTCCATTGGTGCTGTGTTCAGTCGTGCCCGATATAGTCTCCGTTGCGCCAAATCCAGGTCCATTGGTGCTGTGTTCAGTCATGTCCGATATATTCTCCGTTGTGCCAAATCCAGGTCCATTGGTGCTGAGTTCAGTCGTTTCCGATATAGTCTCCGTTGTGCCAAATCCAGGTCCATTGGTGCCGAGTTCAGTCGTTCCCGATATAGTCCAGGTCCATTGGTGCTGAGTTCAGTTATTTTTGCGGGATGGTTAGACCCTACATTGCCAGACTCGGTTTCTGTAGAATGCAATTCAGACTCAGAGTTAGACCCATGTTTGTTTACTTCAACGGCTGTGTTCAGATCAGGAGCCATCTCGACTGAATCATTCGTGAGACCAGTGTCTTGTTCGGAGGACAAAGTTGGCACGGCAATCATAGACGACAGCGAGTTTGGGACTTCAAACTCTGCATGACATGAAACAGAAATATATGGAGACAACCTTTTATTTCAAAAGGTTTCAATAAGGAAGCAAGCAAATTGTCCAAAAATATTCCTTGACAATCGTTTAGGTCTAAAAGTAAAACGTGTTTTCGCTATCATGCCGTAAAAATAGGGTAAGGAGATCCGAATTGGTATAGTTTTAATTAGGAATCATGGAAAATTGTCAGGTGTATGTCTTACCTGTACAAAGTGCATATACCCTCTCATTGCTGTTAAAGTTAATGTTTTTCCACTGGTATTCCCAACCTTCATTGAGAACCACACACGTGTTCACGTCAGGAAATCTAGGATGGTCTTTGGCAAAGTTGGTGTATGATAGTGCTTGGCCGTCCGTATCTACAGCTGTACCGTTGCGAGTCAATGTAGCGCCAACCCATACATTATCCTGTAAGCTACCAATGTAAAAAATATCGACACGCAGCATGTGAATTCCTTAAACAGTTATAGCATTGATGATGTTTTAGACGTCAGATAAGGCGAGGAACATCTGGTTTTCATTTTTCGTCACAAAAATAAAACGCTTCATTATTTTAACGGGTAACAACGAGGAGACTTAAATTATGTTACTTTATTGGTGTCACTTTACGTAACTTATGGCTACAACCATCCACACTTTTCTATGACTTATGACCTAAAATCCATTCAACTAGTTAAGTATGTTAATAAAGAGATCTCCTAAAATCACTCACTTGAAAGTGACAGGTGAGAGTGGAGGTAGATATGATCTCTGGACAATCACACAGACAGGTGAGAGTGGAGGTAGAAATGATCTCTGGACAATCACACGGACAGGTGAGAGTGAAGGTAGATATGATCTCTGGACAATCACACAGACAGGTGAGAGTGGAGGTGGAGACAGGTGAGAGTGAAGGTAGATATGATCTCTGGACAATCACACAGACAGGTGAGAGTGAAGGTAGATATGATCTCTGGACAATCACACAGACAGGTGAGAGTGGAGGTAGAAATTATCTCTGGACAATCACACGGACAGGTGAGAGTGGAGGTAGAAATTATCTCTGGACAATCACACAGACAGGTGAGAGTGAAGGTAGATATGATCTCTGGACAATCACACGGACAGGTGAGAGTGAAGGTAGGAATGATCTGTGGACAATTACACAGACAGGTGAGAGTGAAGGTAGATATGATCTCTGGACAATCACACAGACAGGTGAGAGCTGAGATAGAAATGATCTCTGGACAATCACACAGACAGGTGAGAGTTGAGATAGAAATGATATCTTGACAATCACACAGACAGGTGAGAGTTGAGATAGAAATGATATCTTGACAATCACACAGACAGGTGAGAGTGAAGGTAGAAATTATATCTTGACAATCACACAGATAGGTGAGAGTTGAGGTAGAAATGATCTCTGGACAATCACAGACAGGACTTCCATTCAGATGATAGCGTCTGACTATCGCAGATAGGTACATATGTATTTGCCTCATTTTTTTCCCATCTCAACAAGATAAAACGTGTGTACGTAAGATATATATATATATATAGGCAGTTCTGTCTGAAAATCTATGTATTTACAATGTATATCAAGATAAAATGAAAAAGGAAACCCCAGAAACGTAACCAATTCGTATACAGGAACAGATTTACATGAAATCAAGGTAAATTAACAATTGTAAACATGGACTTTATCACAAATATAATAATGTTAATTTTTTTTCCTTAATCTTAAATTTAACAAATATTTAAGTTTTCCTTAATTTAATTGAGAATTCCAACTTTAATATGCTAAATTAATCTCACAATTCAAAACCACTATCATATATACCAAATACTAGCCTCGATGTACACGTATCTTCTTCATAACTATATACTAAGGTGTTTTAAACAGCTTTTTAACCGAAAACCAGGATAATCCTATAATTATTCGATCAGGCAAGTTGAAAAAAAAAACATATCCAAAATTTGACGAATGGCGTTTAAGGAATTGTTGTATGAAGATGTAGCATTGCTTTAATTTTACGAAATTTATTTAGAGAACCTGTTCCACAGATATCTATTTATATTCTAAATAATTAATATTTCAATAATTACAACAATTACTATTACACATCATATGTCAGCAGTTCTTTGTCAATACAATAACAGTACAATTTGATTCCTCTGGTCCAAACTCTCTCATGCTGTATAATAACAAGATAATTACTAGGTCAATATATATTATATATATATCTCTCTCTCTCTCTCTCTCTCTCTCTCTCTCTCTCTCTCTATATATATATATATATATATATATATAAAAAACTTGATTTGACGAGATGCGAGTAAATTCTAAATAAATATGATTTTTTACAAAAGAAGAAAGACGTTACATTTTGCACTAGCGCTTTCACTGTATTAGATCTTCAGGTGCATAGTAACTGTACATAATGGTGTGGTGTCACAACATGTTATCTGTTGATGACGTCATAATATAAAAGGGGCATCATTATATTTTGCAAACTTTACATTTTTATTACTTTATATTATGACGTCATCAACATCTTTCTTCTTTTGTCAAAAATCATTTATATATATATATATATCAATCAGACTCATAGTTTCATATACCTACATCACAAAGCTTTACTCATACATGTATATATAACTGTTACTTGATAAACCATCTAATAATATGTGTACTTAATACTACTTAATAATACTTTCTTAACATTCATGATAAAATATAAACCAGCTGTAAATTTCTCCAGGACTAGCAGACTTTACAAAGAATAAAATGACCTTTCATTGTGTATTTTAGATTTTCAATATACACATATAATAATTTTTCTCTCTTCCACTAGCCCAAAGACCTCTCTCTTGTTCCTTGCTGCTTGTCTCTTTTTGTCTCTGCTATTCTCCTCTAAAGTGTGTGAGGGTTTCAAAATGTAAGTGAAAAAGATTAGAAATTGTTGGTGAGTGAGATACATATATGTGATATGAATGTTTAGCCCCCCACCCCCACTCCTTCCTTCTCTTTATTTTTCTCTGTCTCTATGTCTCTCTCTGTGTAGAAGGAAAGTGTGTGTGTGTGTGTGTGTGTGTGTGTGTGTGTGTGTGTGTGTGTGTGTGTGTGTGTGTAGGTGTGTGTGTGTGTGTGTGTGATAAAGATGACAAAGGCACGTGTTTCGTTGTGTATATAGAAATGGTAATTGGTTTTTGTAAACCATATTTTCTTAATTATCTATCTATGGATGAATCCTGATTGCAATATTCTAATGCTGATGACAATTATGAGGATAAGAATGTTGTGTAAACTAGGATATTATCTACGATATAATTAAGTTATTGATTCACAAATAGTTGCAATCCTATACAGGTATGCAAGTTTCTGTGTGTGGAGTGTGTATGCTTATGTGTTGTTACCTATACTTATATAAAATGCTTAAAAATAAAAAAAATTACAACAAAAAAAATATTGCCAGGTACCAATATAACATTGCAGGAATACCTACCCACTCATCATGATATAAAGCACGAGTAACAACTGTGTGTCTTGGTTCCTGATGACGAAAAGGAACCCTCCCGACGAATCACACGCTTTAGCATCCAATGACTCGAGTTGGATGGTCCAAGCACACACGAAACCATTGCTCAGGTTAAGCTTAAACTTTCCTTCCGTGACACATCCCCAGGCATCTAAAAATATAAACCCAAAGAGTTCTTTTTTCCTCTCATATCCAGCGTTACCAAAGGCGTATATACTTCAAAGTCGATCAAATATGTGATCTCATTTCCCGATAATGTTTAGATTGAAGTAAAAAAACGGATATGGAACAGAAACGTGCTCAAATTTAAAAAAAAAATGTTACTTTATGCTGTTTATTGTAAGTCGTTTGGACTATAAAAACTAAAATGCTACCTTTTTTCTCGCTGATTCATAAAATTGGTTGAACGAATGATTTCCCAATCCTGGTTTTGATTGTCATGATTCCAAGTTACATGTTACATTGGTAGATTTGACAGAGGTCAATCCGTACTTTTGTTACTGTATAACTTCGAATGTTTGAATACTAATATTATCTTCAATGAAATTAATACTTACAACCATATAAGGGCAGTAGTGATATTAAAGCAGCTACACACTTCCTTATGGTATACATCCTGGTCTGCCAGTATCGTAATGACTGCTGAAAGGGATCCAACTGCCTTAACTAAGCCTTGAGATCGATACCAACAATATGACGGTTCTAAATGCTTCAGATGGGTCCCGCCCATCAAATTCTGTCAAGTCCGTGCTGACGAAAACATCTGATTAAAACATTTTATTACTTGACCTTGTTGTCGACATTCTTTAAAGTTTTTTTTCGTGAAACTTTTTGAGATCGAACCTTTTTACTTGTTGTCATATATTCAATCCAAACAACCACACCGTCATTTTCAAAACAAAACAGGTTTTTAATGTTTATTTCAACTAAAACACTTGCTATAACATCTTAGTTAGACAAGAGTGTATGAGACAAGGATGAATGATGACATAAACAGCAATGACACGACCAACACTAACACAAAACACTTCATTAGACATAGGAACAACAACTGCAAAATACCAGTAACAGAGCACTGCATTTATATCTGCATTGGTCAGCTGACCTGTACAGAACAGAAGTTATCATATGGAAATATTTGTTATATGAAGAAACAAACTGGATGATAGCATAATCGGATGTGACAATGTACCACAGGGTGGATATTATAGCTCCTCCCATTCCGATGAATGTGTGTGATATATGCTTGAATGATAAATGAAAGAAAGGAAAATTAAAAAGCTAGAAAAAATATGGACAGTAAATTTTGAAATATTGATCAATCAAGCACGTTCATGAAAACAGCCCGTTATTATAGTTTTAAAGCCAACCATTTTTCAAGTTAAAAACACTCAGAGAGAAGACATCCGAGTGAGATTTAAATACTGGAGAAATTACAGTATTATCTAGGAAAACACATTGAATGGTTGTTAAGCCCAGCTACATTGAGATAAATCGGTTAAAATGCAAGAGGAAATCTCCTTCAAGATCACAATGCTGACAAGATAACGCAACCATTATCACCGCATCCGACTGTTGATATATGTATATATACAAGAGATCACAGAGGAATCTTGACGCCAACAATTGTTGGATCTGTATTTGTTCTTTGAACGTTGGATTTCCCCCCTTCTTTTCTTTTCTGTTTTTGCTCTTAATGATAAGACATTTGAACATCAAACCTTTGCAGAAATAGCAATAACTAGAACTGTCGCCAGGATGGCCGACTAATACTCACGCTCCCCAATCAACAAAAGGTTTGAAAGGGTTGTCTCAACAAGATTCCTCCAAGAGGTCTTCATTTGGTCACCATGGCAACCAAATGAAAACAATTAAGTTATTTTTTCGAAAATGGCATAATTATATTTGTCACCCTCTAAACCTTTTTATACCAATTTTCACCTTAACCAGATAATATCTTAATTTCGACCAATCAGAAGTCTCCAAAGTGTTCCCATCGTAACGGTTTTGGAACACCTAATATGTCAAATTATAGGCTATGATTAGCTATAGCACTAGATCAAGTTTAAATGAAAAGTGAAAGGGCACAGCTTTATATCACAGGGATGTAGCATGCTAAGTTTGGGAAATATTGTTTCAGTACTTTATTAGATACAGTTGACACAATATTCTACAAAAAGAGGCATAACTCAGACAGGTCGGACGGTCAGACTGGGCGATTCCAATTTACCCCCTATCTTGGTGGGATAATCTTTAACTGCCAAATACAAGATAGATAGCTGAAAGCAATTAATTTTTCTGATCAGTCCCTTAATCACGGGCATTAGGTACCAAGGAGAACCTACATATGAAATTTGAGAGATTTGAGAGAGGCCCATTACTTTACTAGGCAAATCCAATATGGCTCCCTGTCGGCCATTTTATTTTACTGATCAGTCCCTTAAGGGAAGCCTACAAATAAAGTTTGAGAACGATCTATGCAGTAGTTCTCAAGAAATAATTATAACAAACTTCCAAAGTCAAATTCAAAGATGGTCGCTTGTCAGCCGGAGAACCTACACCTTAATTTTGAGAAAGATCTATGCAGTAGTTCTTAAGAAATAAAACAATATTTATCAGGCGAAATCTAAGATGACAGCCTATCGGGCTCTTTGTTTCTCTGATCGGACCCGAAATCAAACCGGCACAACTAGGGACTAAGGGGAACCTTCATATGAAATTCGAAAAAGATCCTTCCATTAGGTCTCAAGAAATATCGATAACAATTTTTCAGGGACGGACGGACGTCGGACTTTTTGAATAGCCTACCGTCTGTTAACAGTGGGCTAATCAAGAAAGAGAGAGAGAAATATAAAAATTGTAGTCACTTCTAATTAGTACAACACACGCGGGTTGCAATTAGTTTTCCTACCTTAGTAGGACTACATTTCAATCGACATGGTAACACAATATGACGTCATGTAAGTGGGTCAAGGTCACTTTTTGAACAACATTCATAGCTTCCCATTCCCAGCATGTTACAGACGCAATATCAGCACCATGTACATTTTGGTTATAGAAAAAAAATTGTTTAGATTTCTCATAACCTTTAAAGTAGATCAAAATCATTCATTTGAATACATAGTAGTATATTTTCAGCGTGTAAATTCCCATAGTCCTTATAGCTAAAATAGATCTCCAAGGTTATCGAATACATGCAATGCGTTTCGTACATTAACCCACATGCCAAATTGGGGCAAATTCGAGTGTAAATATGCAATGTGTGGAATGTAATGAAATGGAATGTTTTCGGTATTCAAAGTCCGATACTCTTGCAAATATTGAAATTGACCTCCGTTATTTAACTCGTGTGACATTAATTGATATGAACCCACATAAGAAATTTGGAGAACATCAGACAACAAATAGCCAGATTATTGTGCAGAGAGTACATAAATAATGGTAATTTTTTGGCATTAAAGTCCCTTAACGCTTGCAAATGTTCGATCACTGATTAGCAAATCCATGAGATAGGAAGTCATATACTAAATGTGGAGAACGTCGGACTACAAATTCGCAAGTTACTATGTAGAAAGTAACAAAGTCATTCAATGTCCCATAACTCTTGTAAATATTGACGGATTTCACAGGTTATGGAACCAATGTGAGTATGCCAAATATAAAGTCACGTACCAAATTCGGCGAGAATCTAACAACAAATACAGACAGACGGACGGACAAACGGATTGATGGATAAGCTGATTGCTATAAGACACCGCATCTCGATGTGGCGCCTTAACTTGGGATTTTGAGAGAGGTCCGTTCAATACTTCTCCAGAAATAGCGATAACAAACTTTCTTGGTCAAAATACAAGATGGTCATCTGTTGGCAGTTGTTTTTCTGATAAGTATCAAAATCAAACAGGCACAACTAGAGTTCAACAAACTTTGAGAGATCAATACAGGGCTTCACGAGAAATGGCAGCAATAAATTTTATAAAGCAAAATCCAAGATTGTAGCCAGTCAGTCATTTTTTCCTGATCAGACCAAAAATCAAACCAGCACAACTAGGATCAAGGGGTAATATATTTCATTAAGCAAAGTCCAAGATAGCAGCCTGTTAGCCATTTTGTTTTTTTCTGGTAAGTCTTAAAATTGAACTTGCACAAGAGACCAAGAGAACTAAAATATGAAATCTGAGTGAAATACACCCAGAGTGATAACAAAACTTGTTTACTGACCAAAAACGTTGGGCGATTTGAATAGCCCACCAGCATCTAATGGTGGGATAAAAAAAGAGGGCATTTTTCCTTCAAAATTGTTGAACACAAGCAGATATTCAAGATAAACATAACAAAAACAAGGGACAGTAACTCTTCCAAATACAGGTGAATCAAACTGCTGTTTAAGAAAACACAACTTCACACCACAGCGATTAAGCCAACCGAAATCAGAAGCGATCACCATGCCGTAATGTGTCCAAATTTTTAGCATGCATATAAAAAGGAATAAGATTTATTATTTACACCATGAAGTTTTATTTGGACTAAAATAAGTACACTTTCAAAAGACGTGACCAGACAAAGGACATGTAAATACTTTTCTCATAAAGCAGAATAATGATGAACATTATCATAATAGAATACTAATATAAATCAAACAAAATTGACAACACTTCCTAATAATCTAGGGAAGCATTATATTGCTGAAAAAAATGGTTGTCAATGCCATAAAAACTGTACATCTAATTTTAGACGAAATTAAACTATAATCATTTCATTAGCTAAATTTGATCAAAATATTATTCAAACGGTTTGAAATAAAAACAGGTAAACAAATCCAATTTATTCAGTATATCAGGCAGTTTTTGTTTTTTGTTTTTTTTTTCTGTAAGGAATAGGTGTCTTCCAACAACTTTCCCACATTTACGGAAATAATTGATTAAGTAGTAGATGCTGAAGCAACAAACCAAAAATAACAACATAGTGACATATATAGAGCAAGATAGAGAATATTTATAAATGTTGTAAAATAGACAGAATGTTATCAAAGTATAAAACAAATCATATGTACAACTTTCAACTAAATGCCGACTTCAGCTGTTCAAAACTCCATGCAAAAAAATTCATAATTATATATAATGGTTGAATATATCTCGAGACTTTTGATAAATGATTTTACATATTTTGACTAATCATGCATCCACCCTTTCAAACCAATACCTATCAATGGGGGCTATAACGTTATGCCTAATTTCACTAAAAAAAAAAAAAATTTATTCAGCTAAACATGTTTATAAATCACAATAATGCTAATAATATAAGAGTCAGACTCCTCAAGCTAAATGACAATTTTTATCTAATCTATTCAACCTTTTTCATGAGATAATTTAATCATTAAAAATGATCCACTGTTAAACATTTGTTAAGAATCAGGGTTTAATGCCGATAAAGATCCTAATGAAAAGATATACTTTATGTTTAGACTCTACTTGTAAAGACAAGCAAATCAGGTATTCTTAAATTCAACCTTCAGTAAATGACCCAGCATCTTGTATCAGGTTTTAAACAGTAGTTGACATCAATCGGTTTTTAAGTGATCCAAACTTCCGGAAACAACATTCACAATATCACTTGTAATTTTCAACAAGAATGGCTAACATGATCAATCCCCCCTACAATTTCTTGTTCTTCTTAAACATCTGTCTCCAAAGGTGAAATCCAAAACTTAAACTTAAAGCTTGATCTTGATACAAGGCATTAAATTTGATGATTGATTTAATTCTCAGACATTGAGCACCAGTTTCTGAAGGAGATAATCCAGTACAGTCACACAAAATAGGGCTCTTATAACTCAGGGGAGGTAATTCGGTACAGTCTTACAAAATAAGTCTTTTATAAGTTTTTAACAGTCTTGACTTATAACAGAACCAATTGAAATCACTTAATATAATTTAAAAATTGCAGTTAGTAAATGCTAAGCTATTGACCTTAACAAAATAATCACTTATCACCTTAATTTCTTAATAATAAATTTATTGTGATGTGATGTATAATGTAGGTAAATTTAACTTATATCTGTAGTCTTTGAGCTTTAAGTGATTTTTTTTCATTCAGCAAATTTAATTAGTATATGTATGATAATTAATTCTATGCATGGATAAAAACCATTTCAGATGAAGTCCTGATTATATGGTGAAAGCAATGTTTAAAGCACCATTTAAAGTGAACTTGACACATTATCAAAGTTCTCTACCATAACCTTGTATTAATAAACACTTTCATCATTTCCCATAAATTGATATTTATATATTAAGAGGAACTCATTGCAGTGAGTGTCAGACAACAGGGATGCTAATCATTGATAATCAACACAAGTCACACATTATTTCAATTAATACTGAGAATTAACACATGATCATTTTTCTGTTTTTTTCTAAGATGTTGTAATCCCTAGATGGCAGTTTTAATTTTTATATGATATCACAATTGTTACAACTTCAACAGCTTCTAAAATAAGTCTGCATACAAATCTCAAACATTATTCACAAGGTGCCAGCATCAAAGCAATGTTGATATTATGAAAGTTCTTTAATATTTTCTAGCAAATGAGTCTATAATCTATAACAGCACCTGATGTTTCTGATCAGCATTTGTTTAAAAGACCAGAGAATAAATACTATATAGCAATAAATATATTACTTGTGGAAAGGCAACTTTCTGTAAGTACAAGTCATGATTCATAAGATATGCACTAAGCCATTGTCAATTATGATTTACCCAGTACCTTTTTTTAATCTTCCAGATTACATTGGATGCTGTACATTACTACAAAATTAAAGACACATTCCTATCACACATTTTTAAAAAATGTTGCCTTTCCCTTATTGAGCTCTACTTCAGACCTGTACAAAACATTATGCTCCAACTGTCTTTATTAGTTTGACTGTATTGTAAAATATCACAGATCCATGGAAGTGGAAAGAGGGACTGACTGCTCGGAAAACTCTGTGTTGAGTTTGTTGATACCTGATCTTTCCACATAGTGAGATCATAGTGATTTTTTCTCTCCAAATAAGCACGGAAGCATGTTGACTTCAAATGCACTCAGCACTTGATACCACTCCATTTACAAGTGTTATAGCCTATGTCATCACTTTTAGACTGTGTGTTCCAGTCTTCGTGGTCAACCACATCAGCATTTCATACCATATTTCACTTGATACCTAGTATGTTGAAATAATCCTACACATTGTCTCAGAAAATTGTAAATGTCTAAAATTTTCTTAAGTGTTAATTTTTACCATTTGAAAGTTGTATTTTTTGTCCGTAACAGTCAGGAATACAAAATGTTCAATTGATTTTGTGATAAGAACATCCATTTTGAAATATGCAAGTCCCCTAATATCCTCCCTGAACAGGGATTCAATCCTCATCATCATCAGATTCTTCCTCAGCTTGTTCAAGCCAGGTCAGCCATTGATTGACCTAAAAATTCAAAATTGACTTCTGAATGATGAAAAAGCATCAATGAACTTTGAAAATTCATAAATCCAAAATATGCAAATGCTCCCCTTGTTATGTAAATCAGAATCGTATAGAGTTAACAACTTATCCAGACTAATAATAAAAAAGTTGGAATGCTAAAAATAGTACATATCAGTACTTGATGAAGAGTAATGTTTATCCTGTCTTTACCTACCCATTCTCTCTAAGGTAAACATACAATCATCTGGTACTTACCTGGAACAGAGCCTTTCCTTTCCCAGGATGTTCATCATTGACTTCTTCTTTCCACTTCAAAAATGATTCCTCCTCTAGAATTTCCATGTCATAAAAGTGCATGAACATCCTCAGTAACATACCTGAAAGGAGAAAACTAATAATTTACAGTGCTTGGTTCAATTTAACTGCAATTAAAAGATTTTAACCTTTTTTTCATTTGGTGGTTAATTTCATGGATTTTATTGGATGAGCACTTGTACTTTGTGAGAAACACAGCTTAATTTGAAATTCTCAGCATTCCTAATTTTCAGTCCCCAGAAGGTATAGACTGTAAAATCTGGAGATAATCTGTAACTGAAGGGAGTGTTGAAGTATCCACTATGTTATCTACCTCTTAATAGATCAAGTTGGTTCAAAGGTGGACATTTTAAAGAAATGGATCTAAAAGCAAAAATTCTTTGACGAAAATACAGTTAAAAAATAAACACCATAGTCTTGCTTTTGCACTTGTTTGTCCAAGGCATGAAATGAAATGGAAATCACCATACCTGTACTTCTTTGGATTTATCTGCAACTTACCTTTAGGAAAGTGATGAGAGTGACAGAATACCTGGGCTGCATACAGAGCCTCCACCTGCAGGTCCATGTTATCATGCAGGAACAGCTGTAGCACTCCCTGTATGATGAATAAGAGAAGGGATTGTTCTTAATAACATAACTGTGACTACAGAAATATATCAGTCATAACTGAGAACACTGCATTGTACTTATACCAGTACATATGAAATAGAAGTGAATACAGAAATGTATTTACATACTCACATGCACTATTTATGTTATAAATGATGTGAAAAAGAATGTATTAAATATAATATACAACACATAATATTCAACAGGAAGACATTGAAGTAAATATTACCTTAAGTTTGTCAAGTCTCTGCTTCTCTTTCTCTGTGGCAGCTTTCTCAGGGACAGCAGAACTGTCCACATCTTTACCAAGAGTGGTGTCCATTGTGATGTACTTCAATACACTGTAAAACAAACCATTGAGAGTAAGACAGAGATAAGGGGACACCTGAACAAATCTAACTGATCACTGTAACACAAATAATTTAATATTGTTTGTATCAATATCATGTCCATACAAGGAGGGCATTGATGGATAATAGATACACACCATGCAGTGAGAATGTTGATGAAGCCAGGGGAGTGGTGCAAATCAGTGTCCACATTTTCCTTGATCCACTTGAATGTAGCGGTGGCCCCTGGTTCAGCCTGCACCTGTTTCCAAAGCTCTGCCTGGACACGCAGTAAAGGAAACATAAAGCTCAATCCTCGATCCTCTAAAATCTCCATCATTCGCTCCTTTGTCTGGTCGATTTCTGCAACATATTAACATCATTCTTAGAAAATTTCCAAAAGAACATAAGTAAACAATTTTGTACCATTTTCTTCAAAAGCATTAAAAAGAAAATCTAACTTCTAATTAATTACAATTCTGCAGAAATAAATCACTTGAGCTTGTCAAGGAGATCTATGTATTGGCACAAGTTTACTTAAGTTCCTTCGATAAATACACAGAATGAAACAATATTTGTATAGTGACTCTTGGTTTCAGTAACCTCCTATATGTAATGCCCAGACAGAGTTAATTGTAAGAATTCTGTACCTGGTAACATATTCTGTAAGGAGACTTTGCTGTCGTTAAAGTTGGACACCAGCCAGTTCTTGTCCTTGAGTTTGTGCATTTGTTGGAGGCAGAGTAGGAAGAGTGGATAGTAGGTACCATTTTCCATTGGCACTGATAACTCCTGAATGGTGATGACTCCCTCTGTCACACCCATGGCAGCAAACTTGGAGATGTAGGACTTCACAAGCGGTACCTCAGGTTCCAGTTCTGCCATCTTCTCCAGCAGAGATTGAAGTCCCTAACAACAATAAAACAAATGAAATAACACATTACTGATTATGTGGATAATGACCACTATTTACAATTTTCCAGCTAAAAGTGTGAAGTGTAGGCAACCAACTTCTCATATATTTCATAGTGCAGGAGAGCAGTTCATGGACCCAAGACGGAGGATGAGCAGGCAAGTTCTCATGTACCTAGGACTGCAGGGGAGCAGACAACCTTTTTATGGATCAAGGACAGCACTGGAGTATAAAACACCATCATTTCCAAGGCACTAGAATTAAGGACTGATATCTTACCTCCATAAACTGATCAGATGTAACAAGGTTATCTGCCTTCATTGCTGAGATCAACTTCATAACGCTTTCACGCTCAGAATCTGCAATTCAAAAGACAAAACAAATGAACATGTTTCAACTGATAAACCAATTTTCACTGTGTACTCTGCCTACCAAATGTCAACTTGTCAATGATAAAACTTTTGTATCAATAAATCAACAATAGAAACAATAACATTACATAGAACCATACGATGCCAAAGACGAAAATAATAACAGGCTCTTTTCTATCAATTATTTATCATGTTTTAACCGGTCAATCAATAGCACAATATAACTTACCTGATTTATCTACAGTTTTTGTCATCATCTGGGCTAGCAAGTCTGGGTGGAACCTTCAATATGAAAGACGAATCACATAATGTAAAATAAATATTACAAATATTATGTGTCAAACTTCAAAAGACAATTTTGTAAGACAACAATAATTTTTGTGCATGTTTATGTATCAAATGGAACTTACTTCTTGGGAGAGTTCATATCTTTGAATGAATTTAAAGCTTCATTAGTTTCACAGTTAGCCAGGTATTCGTCCAACATTGTCATCTGAAATACAATATTAGTAACTGATGGAATTTTCTTTTACTTATTGAGAACTGTAAAACAATAGGATATGTCTATATATTTTTTTCTTAAAACCTTAGAATCAAAAAGTTATTTCAAATAAATTTCTGTCTAAACATGTTACAACTAATACTTTATTTCTAATCACCACTTACATCAAGAGCTATTAGTGCCTTATAGAAAAAAAAAAAAAAAAATTAGACTTAATGGCTTAAACAAAAATTTCCAATAGAAAACTTACTGTTGCTTTCATTACTTCATCTTTAGTTGGGATGGCCTTCTTGTTAGGCTTTGGTTTCTCCTGGGTCACCTGCTTGATGGTAATCTGGGCCTGAAAATGACACCATAGATTAAATATAGCTGATGAATTATGATAATTACATTAAGAAACATTACAGAATGTGTTGTTGTATACGAAAGTCTACTAGATCACTTCAGCAACCAACCTGTTTGTTCAACAATGGTTTTGGAGGTTCTGGAGGTCCAAGAGACATTTTCATCATCACATTCTGTGGTCCAACTTGTGCAGACTTAGGAAGATTATTAGGTGTATTTGGCTTGAAAACTGTGAAGTTCTTGGCCGGTCTGAGACTGATTTCCTCGGTTGTACTTGGTATCATGACTGCCGTGCCATTAGCGCTAGCAGCCTGCTGAGCTATTTGTTGCTGTTGTTGCTGGGCCAGTCTAGCAAAGCGTGGAGGCAAGTCACGTGGGGCCTGGCTTGCTGTAATGTAAACAAGACCTTAGCAATGGTATGACACCCTAATGTCTTCTACAAACAAGATTTGGCATTATTGTGCTTTGGTTCACCTTTCCACAGGAAAGCAGACGATGCCATAACAATAGTTTTTAACAAGTTTTATATTCAATGCTCTTCAACAACAAGTATTACACATCATTGTATGTCTCACTTGTCTTCCTGTTAGTATAGTATTTCTTTGGATAAAGGGCAATATCCACTAGAACTGTCAAATTTTCAAGTTTATTCTAATTGATGATAAAAAAATTACCGACGTATGATGTAGTCCTATTCAAATACGGATGCATTGCTTAACATGAAATAAGAATTTCAAAAATTCTTAAATTCTAATTTGGTTGGAATAGCATTTTCAATATTTTGAGAATCAGCTAGCTTTGTATTACATCAAACTGTGCATTGAATAATACATCTATAATACATGATAAAGGCATATCAAATTCAAGACTTTACTTCATAGCTGCTGTTCCAAATACAGATCAAAAACTTAAAATTCAATCACCTGTAAATGATACAGGGTAAAGAAGCAGAAATGTGAAATACATCTAATATTTGTAAAGATATTGACCAAGGAATTCATGAGTAGCAAACCTTGTTTCTGCTGTTGCTGTAGGGACTGAGGAGATTGGCGTCCCCCTGTCATCTGCTGATTATTCTGGTTCTGTCGCATGTTTCCCCTCCCTCCCCCGTCCTGTCTTGGCTTGTTGAAATTGTTAAAGCCCTGCCCCTGCTGCATGTTCCTGGGCTTACCCATATTCATGGGATAGCCAGGGCCATCATGGATCACTCCAGGTCCTGTACCTGTTCCAATTGTTCCTGTTCAAATAAAGAAGTTTTCATAAAAAATTCCCTTTTCTATAAAACTTAATGAAATGAAGCACATAAACATACCACATTCAGCATATAAACATCATCTTATATTGACCAAAAAATACAAATACCAAATTATGTGATCTAAAAACGTTTATATCAGCAAATGATTAAGTGCCCTGACAAGGAACTAAGCATTTCATATATTTTTGATAAAGATTTCATGAATTTCATTTTAAAAGGTCAATTACCTAATTTTGAATAAATTACTTTATACATTTTTGTGAAATGAAAAACATACCCATCAACATTCCCGGTGAAGACATGCCGAATAAATCCCCCATCTGGCCTGGATTTGATGCCATCCACTGGGGACTCATGCCTCCATTCATGCTTGATCTGTTTCCAAATTGACGAGACTGAGGTGGTGGAATGTATTCACCATACTCCTGAAATTTTTCAACAAAATTTTATTCAACAATACTCATAAAATTTCTTACAATATTTCATAAAGAAACACAAGGGAGGGTGAGAGCTTTTTTTTCGCTAACCCTTCCAGCTACAACTGACAGCTGAAAGTTTCCGCTCTTGTGTATGGCATCACATTTATGATCCATATTTTTTTATCTGACTGTACACAAACATTTAATGTACACAAAATGTTAAATACGTAAACAAATCATATCTGTACAAAATCCTTTCTATATTACTAGAGACAAGAGCACTCTAAATACAATTCTTTCTTACAAAACTTGTGACTTGGTAAAGCCCAAGAGACTTACATCAGCAGCTTCTAGTCGTATCTGTGTGATAGTTTTGGGACCATTATCTGTCCCACTTGTTCTGGGAACCCACTGTCAACAGAAAGGAATATATACCTCAATTAACATAATTAGTAATGACCTGTACAAAGCACTTCACATAAAGCTGATTACTTAATCCTAGCTTGTTTTTTTGCAAAATTACAAAATCGTATGAAACTTACATTGTTGCGTCGTAGATCGGTCACATCTCGCAGCATAAACCGAATCCTGGAGGGTAATTCCATGTTCTTAGCGAAAACTTGGATTCGCTGAAAATACTGATCCATCCATGACTGCAAAAGAAAAGATAAGATTGTAATCAACAGTAAAAAAAAACAGAAAATTGATCACATTGAAAATCGATGTACCTATATATATAGCACAATATGAGATGTTTAATTAAAAATATCGCAGTCAATCAAAATCTGTGAGATTGAAACTTGTCTAACTTTTATCAAACTCTATATCCCCTCAGACCTTCAGTCTTTAGGGGCAAGATCTCTCAAAAATTAACTGTAACACTTAATAAATTAACACAAAGAAATTAAACAATTTAGCATTTCAAAAAGAACATTATCTTGAAAGGACTATGCTGACTTCCAATATCTACTCTGAAAGTATACATACTTTCGCCTTGGGTGTGTCAAGGCGGCGTCCAACTGTTCGCATTATCTGACAGAGGCACTCCAAGTCTTCCACCATATCCTGGAGCGGTACATTCTTTTTCTTCTCAAGAAGCTGCTTAATGCACCTGTGTAGTATCCCTTCGTGCAGCATTTCAAGTTTTCCGAGTTCGCCTTGAAAACAAAACATTCAAGTTAAGAAAATTTCAGTATCACAAACTACCGTGAGTAACATATTCATCAGTGGTTCAATTATATTACCGAGAACTTAGTTTATTGAAAAATTCCTCCCAATTTTTGTGTTTGCATGTGAACCTCTTTACTAGATGTTTTTTGAGTGATTTAAATCATGATTAAATGCCAAGAGATGAGGTCCTTTCACAATAGATCCTGTCCCTCTGCAAATCCCCGACTAACATCAAATTAAGTCCTCTATTGGGCCCAGTCCCTCAGACCCTAAGGCCCATAATAATATTGGTTCCCTTAAAAGCTATAAGACTCACCAATAAACTTGATGTTACCAAGCATCTTCCTTTTGGCAATGTGATACTGCTCTGCTTCTTCTGCACTGAATGCGCCATCTTTACGGTCAAATGCTGTCACACAATAAAATAATGGTATCGAAATCTGTCATATCCTTTTATGATATCTATAAAAATCTTCCCAAATAACATACAACTCAGAAGTATGATTACAGTGAAACCTTTCTAATCACAAATTCATTTTGTTCAAGCACTACAACTTTCCTTGGTACATTTTCAAAATGGCATTGTCTTGAAAAAATGAAAAAAAAAAAATACTCATTATTTTCTTAAAATATAAATGATGCTGAACTGGAAACCATTAAATACCTTCAATTTATTAAATTCTAGATATGAACAAAATAAAAATTACTTTTGAGATCACTTCCACAAAAGCATTCTTATGAAAAACCCCAGTGAATAATTCTGTAGCCCATTTATTCGGATCAGAAATGTTTTGAAACACATCCTACCTTCAAGTTCTGTGGCTTTTGACCTGTTTTCAAATTCATCTTGGCACTTGTTTAAAAGCAGGCGACGGAAAGTCTGCAATAAAAGCAGTCACCATAATGATTACATCACTGCATTTATATCCTTTAAATGGTAGATGCAAAACAATGATATTCTTGTATGATTACAGGTGATCACAAATCCTTTTGTCTATAGACATGCACCTCGAGTTTACGACATGAAATGTTCTACCAATCATAACAGACACAGTATGTGAAATTATTTTTTTCTAAGTACACATTGTATTTGGTGATAAGAGTTAACCTTACAAATCAATCAGGATTACATGCCACATATTAATCACAACCAAAATTTAACCTATAACAAGAAGTAAGAAATATTCCTTACAGTTGTTTTAGAGGCTGGAGGTTCAAAGTTTGGTGAGTCTTCACATAGTTGATGACATAACTGTGCGTACATAGAACTGTACTTGGGCTCATCAAGTGCTTTTTCAAATATCTGAAAATGCAAGAAATTGAATGGCACTGAATATTAACCCACTTTTGTTTCTTTACAAGTTCACAAAAGGAATATACAATTCAAATAAAGTCGAACAAAGTGACAAAATATGACTTACCAACAAAATAACACCTTTGAGGATCACATTAGAGTCGAGTCCTACATTTAGCAGTTCAAGGTTTAACTTATCAAACTTCTCAGGAGTGAGTTTGTTAAGAATCCTGAAAATCAATGAAAAATATAAGCCTTAGAATTTTGACCGAAATGGCAAGAACATTGAGAATAAAAACAAATGCATTTAATTTGTCTTCATATTTTACCCATTGCTATGACATTTTAACCTTACTAAAGTCATCATGCCCCATTGGCTCAAAACTTGGTTAGAAGCAAATGATAATTTCCAAATGTGATTAAAACAAAACCAGAAACATTTGTTGTCATTTCACAGCTGCAGATTTGTTGTAATGGATCTGGTTTATATATTTCAAATTTAGTTTTCTTTTAAACCCAATTTTTCCCCTAACCACTGGTTAACACTCATTACTTTGGGCAACTAATGCCAGGATGTTTAGTACAAATTTGACTACTTTTTCACTACTATTGTTAACTGCATGTTTAAACATTTACAGTCCAAGATTTTTCTAATATTGCAGTGGCTATATATGAAATCATCATGAAAAGAATGGAAACTTACCCTCTAACTTTTCGAAAGATCTGATCATGTTTGTCGTCAGGGTTTTGTGTCGCATCTCGTTTCACACTACTTGGAGGTATCCATCTGTTATTAACAGCTGAAGGTGCTGCAGCACCTGGACCTGAGAGTCGGGGTGGTCTCTCGTCCCTGCAATGTAAATATCACACATCCAAGTACAGGTAATGTACTAATATCATGTTCTAAAAGCATTTACCATTGAGACTGTTACATAACCATTTAATACAAACATTTTTAAGAATTTGTAGTATACAGATTACAATTGCAAGTACTTTGACGACTATGCTGGTTATTTCCATAACATCAAAAGAAGATCCTTGCATAATATTCATTTTTAAGGTCTGGTTTTATTATGTTTGATATTTAACAGCTCTGGTTATTTTATCACAGCCCCCAAATCATTTTATTATCATATTGTATTTATTAACAAAACCTTATTATGTGAAACTCTTAGGAAAATATCCTGAAATTTTTTAAAGAATTTGTATTGAACTAGATGCTTCTATGATTATTACTGTATCTGAGCTAAGCTCCAGTGTTTATATAATTACCTTCCTCCGGTGTGTGGAGAAGCACCACCCTGTCCTGTCTGTCCGTCCAGAATGTTGCTGGTTTATGACAGAACACACACCGGCACACAAATTTATAAAACAAATAATTTAAAAAAGGGCGGCTGTTTCTGAAATAGAAAAAAAGAATACATGTTTATATCTATCTTGCAGAAAAAGTACATGATATAGGAATTGATATAGTAGGTTCTCACTAAGGATTTGTTTTATATATCATATCACAAGGCAAAGTTCTGAACAGTTTGCCATAATAGTTTCAAATAAAAATCCATGAAGAGATATCTAGTGCCCAGTAGCCCACAAACATAAATGGTATTTGTATCATTTGAAAATTTCTCATGTCAAAGTCACATATTGGAATATTTCAGTTTATCAAATGTATTTTCAGTTTGGAATGTCCTTGCACCACATAATGCTTTCAGAGAGTTTGTCAGGCATTTATATATTGGGTCAATCAAGTCAAATGACCCATTCCCAGTCATATCATTTCCCAAATTTTAATTGAGGACATGATGTCATACTATTGTTCACACAATTACAGTCCAAAACTTCCTTAATTATACACAACTCACTTAGAAGTATGGACTATAATCAAATAAGTAAAAATATAAGTTTGTCTAAATATATGTGCAAAAATGCTTCTGGTATCTTAAAAATCCATGAAACAAACTTTCAATTGAAATATAATCTAATGAAGACAGCAATATCAATGAAGTTATAATGTATAGTATTTAGCTATCAAACTGATCTTTCTTGGACAAATTTCCTGTAAAAAATATCCCGATACACAAAAATTATCGGTATGAAGCTTTCCTGATTGAAAGTGTGACTATAGAACGAACATTTACGAAACTGTTGATAAAACAGGATCAACATCAGTCGACAGGAAATAATTGAAATATGATCTATATATATGACACCCTTAAATTGAATGTAATAATTGCAAACATGCTGCTTCTAATAAAATGTATTTAAAACATAAAATCAACCCAACAGTTAAAATATACTCAATGGGCATTCTGCCTGGAGCACTTTCTCAAAATGACCTGCGAGACGGAGACAAAGGAATTTCACAAATGTGTGCGTAGAAACACACATTGAACGGATAATCGTTTCAGTTAATTTCTACCTCAATATAATAAGAGCAGTTTGAGTATTCTGAGTTGGTTTGAAAGACAAATTCACGAGAAATTTATCTCGGTCCTCCGACGTTTTGATGTCTTGCTTTTCATATTTTTTTCGACGTCGATCATGGCGATGGATGCGAATCTGCCAGCCCATTGATTCTAGACTTTTCTCTTGGCGAATTTTGCGGTCCATCGCATTTTTTAGTAAAAAATCTATTGAAATGTAAGAGGTGTGTCTAATTTTACATTTAGAAACACGTATATAAGTGTACTTACCTTCTGAACTTACTATTTTGACTGTGTTGTGAAAACCCCAACTAACAAATGTATGTGCGAGCGTTGCATTGTGGGTAAAAGTAATCGTCAGCTGAAAGATAAAATAATTCTCAAAGATGAAAATATGCATTTAGCATAGTATAAATTGTCACAAATTCTAAAAAAATAAACAATTCTATCGACGTTAGTGGCTAAATACCCTTACATGAAAAAGCAATTCAAATTTACATATAGGGGAGGTAACTCCAATAGGATTGACTGTCTGAAATTCCATCAAACTGACATCATCCGATTGAGCACGATTCATAGCGGAGTCAGTGAACTAAAGAATACAGGACCAATAGGCGTAGGCTTTAGGATAGGAAATTTCATATTTGTACTTATTGCATCCATCGTCTTATAGTTTAGATATTCAGTCCTATTATCAATGTCGATGATATTATTTACATATCACGTAACATGAAATAATTTCATAAATTATTAAAATGTAGAGATATAGCTGTATCTATAGACTATATTCCCCTGGAATGAAAGGTATGTCAAGTTGTCTGTTTTTCTTTTTTTTAATCAAAACACTTTCCGTCCCTTTTACTCAGGTGAATCGCTAGCTTTAGAATTATTCAAGCTTAAATGCGGACAGGAAATCTTGGGCCCAAGTGTTGGATATCTTCTTAAACAGATTCGGCTGCTTGTTACCTAGTACAAGGTAATCACTATCGTGTACTCGTTAAGGGATGGTCTTTTCTATATGGCGGACGTAGACACCCACAAAATGTAGGTGTTCACTTTAAGTTTAAGCTAAAAATCACGAATGAATAAAACTTGATCGGGACAAGAACCACGCGGAACTTAGAAACACCCGAAATTTGTATTACGCTATTTGTATTTGCTACTGTGTTCATACATACATGCGAGCCCTTCGCAAAGTTGAGCGAACTGTTGAACTCGGCATCGAGCTTGGACTTGCTGTGATATTTTGCTCATATCGAAATATTTAAGTAGTCCAAGGTTCATTTTCATTGTCAGGTAGAAGCTCAAATAGCATCCGCTTTCAAGCGATATATCATCTATTCTCATCGCTCTATAGTATTCACAGAACGAAGGAAAACAATCTTGTTTGTGTTACGGACTAGTCCTCAGGAAGATATAACAATTTTGATAGGAAAAGTTACGGATTGGTTCCAAAGACAGATCCATTTCGGTTATGGATTCGTTCGATAAATGACTGCAATGGGATTAAGAGTGAACTAGAATTACCCCATTAAAACAGATGTTATACCTTATTGTGAATTTTCCTTTACAGGATAGCAACATTCCGGTATCCTCAACATATGGTGTTTACTTGTCACATTTAATTCGATATTCAAGAGCCTGTACCTATTATCACGATTTTAAATTTTCTGGTCCAAGCCATAACTTAAAAAATTGTACGAAATAATGATAATAATAGAAATATCGGTGATCCCGAAGTTAGATATCGGCCTTGACAGTAAAAAAAAAACACACTTGAAAAGTACAAATGTACTGCTTTTCCCGAAGTTCCAAACTTTCCGCTTTAGACGTAATATTACGTCAGCTGCTGGTACCGCATCCCATGTTTCACAGTTATAAAGCCTCGTTATGGTTTCATCGTGTAAAAATATCTCTGACAAACCATCAAATGTCACGTTGAAATACAATATATGGAATAAGACCTCGTCTACATTTTAGATCCCTGTTACAAAACAATCGGACCACCAAGATAAGTTTCATATTTCTTTTGAATAGTGTACATCCTGTTTCTTAATTTTCTTTTGAATGGTGTACATCCTGTTTGTTTATTTTCGTATTTAAAAAATCTTTGACAGATGATGAATCAACTGTGTATCAAGTAAAACGTCCCTATGTCATGATCTTTCTTTTTTGGAGCTTAACGTCCTTGTTCCGGTTATAACCGAGCCTAGGACACTAAAAATGTCATGATAAAGCGACCGTTAACACTTAAACGACTTCTGCGTAAGAACCACCTGAGTCATGACCAATTAGTGGGGCGGTTTAGCCCAAATATTCAAAAGAATTGTGTATTTTGTGATACAAGCACCAAATTTGGCACACATGTACATGAACATGTTGCAAACATTTTGAGATATTGGGCCACTCGGAATTCTCTCTTTTTGACCGCCATATTGGATTTGAAAATGGCCGCCACTTTGAAGTCTACATTTGCGATTAACTCTGGGTCAAATACTGCTATTGACTTGATTCTGGTGTCTAAATACATGTTTTTGGGGACAAGGAATCCAATGGTACCAATTTCAACTGAATGCTATCTATCACAGTCTGTTATGTAATTGTATTTGGAAATTATCTAGGCAAATATAAGATTGAACACGATATTTTGAAAAGAATGATTTTATGAAAGCATGTTTAATGGATGGTAAAGCCTTAGGTCTGTAAATGTGTTAGGTACCATTCTGGCATGCTACATGGTCTGGTATCTGAGGCTAGGTATATACCGGTAATGAAGATACGTGTACATAAACAGTGTACGTGTATGTTGTGGACTCATCGTCATATGCAGTCCCCTTTACACACACAGAGGGCTGTGCACTGAAGGACAGCCTTCTTGCATTTGCAGCGCCTCACACACCCTTTCTGGCACTTGCAAGAAACCAGTTCAATGCAGCTGTGAGCTGAATCAGGTAGCCTGGTCCAGTATGGTGTGTACTGTCCCCCAGCCAGTCATTGACCAACCCCAGTTGGTTAGTGGAGGGAGCTCTGGTGCTGGCAGCAGTATCTGACCCCACACATGTCCACCTTGATGCACTGCCCTCTTGACATGTTCCTCTAAAGCTGCCTTCGTTGGAGGGATCAGCTGCACATTGTTCTTCCTTGCGAAGAGTTTCCTCCTGGCCTTGTCAATGTCCATGCATTTGTTGGTTTGATCATACAACAGGATCACGAACCTTTCGATGATGCACATTGCATCATTTGGTATGTCACGTGGTGCGGAGGACAGCAGCAGCAGCGCCTCAGTGAGTTCTGGCAGTACCGTCCAGACTGCCCACGCAGTCTTCTTGCTATGTCTGGCAAAACAGAACACAGTGTCGCATCCAGTTAGAGCATGGAACATTGGCAATGCACGAGCCTCCTCTCGTCCCAGTCCAGCTGCTATTTC